GAGAGAGAGAGGGAGAGAGAGAGCGCTATAGCTATATATAGCTATCTAGCTATCTTTGGCAGTGCACTTACCTACCATGCTCAAGCTCGGATGAGTCGCGGCTCATGAGTCGCGGCTCATGATGTCATCACCTGAGCATGCGCATGGCCCCTATGTTCACAGTTATCCAATGCTCGGCTGCTGGGGCGATGCTGGTGCAACTTGGCTCCTGTGGCAACAGAGAGGGAGGGCTCTGCATTCCCGCTGTGGCACATGTGCCATAGGTTCTCCACCACTGTCCTAGAACATTTACTTGGTGGAGAAAGTTATGCTACAAGGGGCCTGCCCTCCAGAAGATAATTCCTGGGTTTTTTTGGTCCCCCCTTGTATGTTTATGCATTTATTTATTCTATAAGCTGCCAAATAGTTAAAAGACTGTCGAGGTGCCAGACAAACAATATTCAATGTATTTGACAAAGAAGGTTTGGAAGTAGATGGGTGGAAGAGACAATAGTGGTGGTAGCCTTGTGTAGGTTACATAGTCTTTGGCAGAAGTGGGATTGTGCAGTTCTCTTACCTGTATGGGAGAAGGTGAAATTCTTTCATGTGTGAGCATGTGTGTACAGAAGCCTTAAAAAAAGAGGAAGCCATCTGTGCACACATGCACATATAGCAAGTGTGGGAAGCTGGTTTCGGCTGGGGGGTTGCAAGACCACTGTCACCGCTGCTAAGCCCACAGCAGGTGATATAAGAGTGGGAATATAACCACTCTTCCTTCTTATCTTCTTTATCTAACCCTCAAAGACTGGTCTAGCCGTTGCAAGCAGATCATGAAGCTCTGGAGAAAGGTGCCAGCCCCAGACAAAGCCCCTTATTTGGTAAGTGGCCTGTGGTAGGAAGCTCAAGATTGTGTATTGTTAGTTTGAATGGTTACTTTTCCTCTTGTAGTTTATGAAGGGTTCTTACTTTTGTGTGTGCTCACACATATCTAGATGTACCCAGCTTGAATATTGTTAGCCAAATGGTTGCAGTGTGGAATGCTTAAGTTTAGAGTTTCAGGCATTTGGCTGCTCCCTCTTCTCTGGGATATTCCATTATCTTTTCCTTCTCCTCCTCCCAGGGTCTCTGTTCTATCCACCAATCAGCCTTCTGTGACTCCTGACTCAGTCCTGATTAGGCTGTTTGGGGGATTTCACCCTTTAGGCTTTTCATTCTAAAAAATGTTGCTTCTGGAACCCTCTGATACCTCCCTTTTGTATGTGCATGGGGCTAGGTCTTGGCTAAATAAAGATCTTCACTTGGCGAATTGAATTCATCATTGCTGCACAGAATGTTAGACATGCTACCTACTTTAAAAATTTGCAACAACAATTTAAGACATGGCCCGTCCAGTGACACTGGAAGGAAATGCTAGTCTAGTTTTGGCGGGTGGAGAAGCTTTTCGCCTTCCTGGTTGTCATGATCCTTTCTCATTTTGGATTTTTCTGTGCAGCAAAAGGCCAAAGATAACAGGGCAGCCCACCGCATCAACAAAGTGCAGAAGGTAAGCAAAAAATGGAAAAGGCAGCAGATGGATAGAACAGGCCAAGAACTGAGCAGGAGAGGCCTACTGGGAAGCTGGGCCCTTTTTGGGCCCTCTGTTGAGCCAGCTGTTGCCCAAAGCTGTGTGTATTTCTGTGCCAGGAAAGATCAAACACCATCCTCTGTAAGAATTAGGCAAATTTATCTTTTCTATTGTTGCCAGTTTTCCTGTTTTAATACCATTTTGGGTTTTGCTTGAAAGCTGGGCATGGTACTGGAAATGCTGTTCTGCTTCCCAGCTCTAGTTCTTAGGTTTCGTTAGGCCCTGTTCGCTGTGCTTTCAAGCTAGTCCATGCAGCCCTAATGGCTAGAAGTGTTTTTGTTTAAAAAAAAAGACAACCCCTCCACCCATCCTGTTTCTCAGGATCTTGAATTTTGACTTGAATAGTATGATTGTAGGATGCAAGAATCCAGCTGCCAGTTTGTTAACCAGGACTTACCCCGTTGAACATCTATTGCTGATTTTAAAAAGGACTTGGCTGGCTTCTAGCACATGATCAGGTGCAAGGCAAAGATTGGTTTTTCCACGTAAAGCTATGATTGGCGTAAGACCATCTGAAGAACAGCCCTACAGTCTTCTCGTGTGTAGTCCTGCCTGTTCTTGAAGCTTAACATCTGGGGAACTGGATACCTAGCATTTAGATAGCAAGTTAAGAGAATTTTTCTGTCCCATGAATTTGATAGATAAATTCTCTGTGGTGGCATTGCTTTATAGCAAGTATTTCTATTGGTTTTTAAATAAATATATTGTTTGTTGGTTTTATTGTTTTGTAAGCTGCTTGAGGGACTTAATAGAGGAAAGGTGAGATCTAAACATAAAAAATAACATGCACACAATGAAATTCAAGCCTGATTAGAATGCAGAAGGTATCGATCCTCTCAAGAGCCTTCCCTTCTTCACCCCCTAAACCAGCCTGCCCTGTCCTGGTGCCCGCCAGATGTTTTGGGCCACCAACTCCCAGTATCCCTGATCTTGGTCATGCTGCTTGAGGATGATGGGAGTAGAAGATGAAAAAATTTGAAGAGCACCAGGTTGGAGGAGGCAGCCCTAAGAAGTAGCCGTTGTCCCACCCCCATTTTTGCACCGCGAGTGGTGCAGAGGGCATTCTTCCGGTGCTGGTGTAGCCTTTGACATCGTGCCTCTTGTGCACCCTTCCCCGCTTTCTTCACAGCAAGCTGAGAGCCAGATCAACAAGCAGACCAAAGTTGAGGTGCTGCGGAGACCAGACCGCCCTGCCCTGCACCTGCGCATCCCATCCCAGCAGGGGGTGCTGCCTGGTGGCACCCAGCCCCCTCCTGCCACCTCAGCGCCTGGACCCCCCCTCTGCGTCAACAGCGCTGCAGCTCTGCCAAGCGGGTCGGGTGTTGAGTCATCCGGCGAGCCCTTCCTCAAGCTCCCTCCTTCTGCCCCCAGTGCCCAGCCCCCAGCGCAAGTGCCTTTGCACGAGCCCTACGGCATGGCTTCTGCCTGCCCCCCGCCAGACCCAGGTTTCCCCTCCCCCTCCCTGGTGGGCCAGAGCCCAGCAGTGCCTGCTGGCTTTGTCTCCGCATCTGCCGCGGGGCATTCCCCACTCCTGCCTAACCCTCGTCCGGCCCTGCCACCTGGGGAGTTCCAGCCCACCCCCCCTGGCACCCCGAGACACCAGCCCTCCACACCAGACCCGTTCCTCAAGCCCCGGTGCCCCAATGGGTCCTTGGAAAGCTTGTCCGTGCCTGGCAGCCCCCAGCGAGCAGCCCTGCTGCTTTCGCCTCCACCCTTTGGGGAGCAGAAGAAAGTGCTGGATGTCAAGAAGGAGGACGCAGGCCCAGGGATCTCCTCTCCCAGCTACGGCTCCAGCTACGGCGACTCTCCCTCTGGGGCTCAGCACTCCTCTGAAATGAAGGCTCCCGATGTTTTTAAAGCCCCCCTCACCCCCCGCCAGTCTCAGGTGGAGCCCCAGAGCCCAGGCTTGGGGCACCGGCCCCCCGATGCTCATTCCCTGGCTGCCTCTCCCCCCAGCCAGTCTGATCTCTACAAACAGACCCCATACCCAGATCCTTACGCTCAGCCTCCACTGACACCGAGGCCACAGCCCCCACCCCCAGAGAGCTGCTGTGCCCTGCCCCCTCGCTCGTTGCCCTCTGACCCCTTTTCCCGCATCCCTGCCAGCCCGCAGTCCCAGTCCAGCTCCCAGTCCCCTCTCACACCCCGGCCACTCTCCAACGAAGCCTTCTGCCAGTCCCCAGTCACACCCCGATTTCAGTCCCCTGACCCGTACTCTCGGCCCCCGTCACGGCCCCAGTCCCGGGATCCCTTCGGCCCCTTGCACAAGCCCCCTCGGCCCCAGATCCCAGATGCTGGCAGCTTCAAGCCAATTCCGGTTTCTCATAATACCCACGCTGTCGGTAATTTCCCTTCAGGGCCTCCCTCAGCTGAGTCTCCCCACACCAAGGCCAACCAGCAGCCCCAGTTTGCCCGCTCCCCTGGTGCCAGTGTCTTCCCGAATGCTCAGCCTCAGATGCGCTTCACATTCCCTCCCAGTGAGACAGTCAAGAGCTCCCCTTCCCATGGGGTCAACAGCCATTTTGCTCCTGGCAAACCGCAAAGCACAAGTTACGTGTCCTCGCCGGGGTTCCACCAAACTAGCAGCCCCCTGGGGCCGGGCAAGAACACTACAGACTCCTACAATGTCTCTCCGCTGCGGCCTCCCTCAGTTCTGCCCCAGCAGCCCGCCCCTCAGCAGGAGGGCACCTTGTCCTACCTGCCAGCACGAGCAAGCATGGTGCCACCAGGGGACAAGAGAGAAGAAGGACTGGTAGCAGGGCCCCCTAACAGAGACCTGCAGGAGCTGCCTGCCAGCCAGGAGGGGGCAATGGGCAGCAACCCCACCCAGACAGAGATGGAGAAACAGCGGCAGGTGAGTGGGTACCCACCTAGGTTGTCTTCAGGCACAGGGGGACAGTGGGGGAAGCATTTGATAAAGCAGTCCCAGCACAGAATTATGCCATGTAGAATCCAAGACTGGAAGTCATGCGGAAGGACATCTACCCTGGTTCCATGGTTCCAAGCTCAAAAGATGATTGCAGGATCCTGATTTGGGGTAAAAAGCATGAGTATTGCACCAAAGGCTCTATTCAGAGCAGATAAACACAAGGGACCCAAGCAATCGAAGCAAACTGGAGAGGAAGGCCAAAACCAAGTTTCTATAGGTCTGTGGCTCATTTGTGGGAGGACAGACAGAATTTCTTCCTGACTTGAGATGTAGCAATTGCTCAGCTTCTAAATGTGGGTGAGACCTGTCCTTAGAACCTTTCAGAAGGCAAATAGTGGGAGTGGAGAGAGAGAGAAAACCCTGTACCACTCGGCCACTTACTATGGCAAGGCTGAGAAGAAGTAGCCAGAGCCAAGGGAGCAAGGCTAGAACCTAAATGCTTTTGAAATAATCTCTAAGGAAGGCCTGTGCTTCCGTGATGGTTTGTCAGCATAGGGTGTACTTGCTCTCTGGGATGATGCAGTTCCATAACATGTGATTAAAACAAACCCAGAGAAGCAGAGCACGCAGTGCTTCAGATGGCATCACCCATCCGTGATACAGCCATGGTGTCTAATTTGTTGGATGTTACTCCGTATTGCTTTTGGCATGCAGCAAGACACAGTGGGAGAACTTGCTTTCTAAATTGATCCAGTTCTAAAATTTGACATTGTGCCTATAGAGACTCCCTATATTTTCGATGCTTACAATATTCCAGTACCCACTCCTTATGAGTGTGGAATGACGGAGGGGCAGGGTGGGCAGTAGTCCCACAGTTTGGTGTTAAGGTTTTGTGTATATGGTGTAGCTGTCCCAGTCTTCCTTCTCCAGTCCATATTTGTTGGGTGGAAGTGTGTGAGCGTGCACACACACACTAACCCCCCCCCCCCCGCACGCACACACAACTGCAGAGCAAGTAAAGTGCTCAAAATCCTCTAGCAGCATGGCTTGGGGTTTTGAGTCCCAGAAATAGGAGATGCATACTAACAAGGGGAGGCATTGAGGAAGGTCTGTTTACAGGAGGAATGCAAATTTTGTCCAGAAGTTGGGACTGCAGGCAAACTTGCTTTAAAGACCTGTAACTGCAGGGCAGATTAACAGTCTGTGCCCTGTCTCTTTGGTGCCCCTCCTGACCCACTAGCGCCAGAGGCTCCGTGAGTTGCTCATTCGGCAGCAGATCCAGAGAAACAACTTGAGACAAGAAAAAGAGAGTGCAGCGGCTGCAGCCACCAACACACAGGCATCATGGAATCCGGAGAGCAGTGGGCAAGCCTTTGAGCAGATGAATCGGAGCATGACTCCTTACCCATCGGCACAGGTAAGGTCACCCCAGAGAGGGTACCTGTCTGTGACTGCACTGTGGATTGCAGCATCTGGCTTCTCACAAAGAGTCTCCGCAAGAATTCTGGTTGCCTGTGATGTCTTCAAAAAGAAAGCAGTTTCTAGTTCACATGACAGAGCAATATGATGATCAAGATTCAGGAGCTTGGATGCTCATGTTCTCTAGCATCCAAAAGGCAGATCAGTTCATCTGCCTCCTCCTCCTTTTGAAAATCTCATTGGGAAGCAAATCTTCTGTGGACTTGAAAGCTGTGAGGAGAAGGGGGCCAGATGCATCCCAAGGGAGCTGTCTGCTGTGTCATTGTCCCCCAGAAGGTGGAGCCTTGGCTTCCCAAGGGCTGCTCCACTAAGTAAAGAAGGAGTCCCATTTGCCACTGGTGCAGGGAGGGGACAGACTGAATTTCCAAGTTAAAAGAGCCACATTTCAGAAGCTGGCTTTTCTAAGCATATGTGGTCAAATTTGTATGAGCAAACAATTGAAATAGGTACCTTACTATTGTATGCAGCTGGCTTAGTTCTCCATGCTTAGTTCTCACTAGTAATTCAGTCTGTTAGCGCTCTTTCTCAGAAGCCTCTAGAAGACAGCCGTGTGCTGGGAATGTATCTCGTTAAAATGGTATCTGCTAGCAGGGGTCGGAAAGTTCTCTTTCAAAAATTCGCTTGGTTGAGGTTTTGGAAAGTTGCTATTAGACTGGACCGGGCTAAATCACAAATGGCCCAGTTTGCTCTAATCCAGCTACATACATTGGTTTCCAAGTGTGATGTTGCTTTGTGATTAAAAACATGATGCTAGGTTGGTATTTAGGAATTTGAATTCATTTTATCAGGAATTTGTTTCAGGATGATTAAAGGAACAGAATCCTTAAATATAAATGATCTGCATAAATTGCATTAGATTTGTCCTCACAGTAGACTGGGGGTGTGGTGACTTTCCTAGAGAGCTTGTTTTTCTAGAGACTGTGCTGTCAGATAGTAACAAACATGCTCACGGATGTCCTTGCTTTTCCCAGGAGAAGGGAATACTAGGCGGCTTGGGTGGCACTCCAGGGGGCAGCAAACTCCCCAGTACAGTCATGGTGCAAGCAGCCTATGTGCAGGACGAGCGACTTGCTCGGCCACCCCCAGCAGCCACCCCTTCTTCCATGGATATCAATGGCAGGTGAGTCTTTTATGCTGTCATTGGAAGGGCAGGCCCTAATCAGATCACATATGCCTGTTGTCAGGTAGCACTGAGAGTGACCTGTAGTCATTCTGTGGATGGTAGTGGTGCAGGGCTCCCAGGAGCCCCCAGCTGTGTCCTGCCATTGCCATTCACCCCCTTTCTTTGTTCTTAACCCCTTCCAGGCCCTCAGTGGCAGCTGCACAGCCATTTTATCCCCGTGGTGTCTTCCAAGCCCCATCTCCACAGCAGCAGATGTGGCAGCAGCAGCAAGCCGTATCCATGCGACTCTCCGTCTCTTCACGCTTCCCCCAGCCCCCTACCCAAGACTTGAGCCGTCAAGGACTCGGGGGTCTTCCCCCACGTCTGCCAGGTCCTGGTGAACAGCTTCAGGCTGCAGCTGGCACACTGGGAGCCCAGTTCATTGAGCTACGGCACAACATCCAGAAGGGGGTGCTTGGGAGTGGAGCTGGGCCTGCCTTTGTCCAGCAAAATCCACAGGTTCGACCCAGATTCTTCTTGCCTGGAAATGATAATGCTGCGCAGGCTTTGAAAGCGTCTGTTATGCCCATGCAGGCACCTGTCCTGGGAGGCCAAGGCATGCAAACACAAAAGATCCCTATTTCAACCTCCCCTCAGGGGGCAGAGATGAGCAACAGCCATCACGCTCATGCCAAGAGCATGCCTCAGTTGATCCTACCGCCTGGAAACCTGGAGATGCAACATATCCCACCCCGGCCTCTCACATCATCTGGCCCTAAAGATGTGCCCATCACCCCAGTGGTTGTAGATGCTACTTCAGCCGCTGGCAAGAACCAGTTAGGTCTAGCTAGTAGGCCGTTACCTTGTGAGGTGCCAGTGGAACCAGACTTAGATGATGACTTTGATTCCCACAAGGATCTGGAGGATGATGATGACTTGGCCAACTTGAGTCTTGATCCAGATGTTGCCAAAGGTGATGATGACTTAGGCAACTTGGATAACCTGGAAACCAATGACCCACACCTGGATGACCTGCTGAATGGTGATGAGTTTGACCTGCTGGCCTACACAGACCCCGAGCTGGACACAGGGGATAAGAAGGACATCTTCAACGAGCATCTGCGCTTGGTGGAATCTGCCAATGAGAAGGCTGAACGGGATGCTCTGCTCAAGACAGAGCCCTCTTCTGGACCCTACCTCAAGGATGCTCCTTCCACTGGTGCTGGCAAGCCAGATAAGCCGAAGGCACCATCGTTGCCCAGGGATGATATGCCCAGGGCTAAAGAGGGGCTTAGTCTTCTGCATGCTCCTGCCTCTTCCTCTGCAGGGGTGCCCCCGTCCCCTGTCCTTGTAAAAACCCACAATGACATGCTGGATAACAAGATGGTGAGCCTACCTGCTGATATTAAGCCCAAATTAGAAGAAGGCTGCCTCAAGTCCTCGCCGTGCCAATTTAACACCAGCACTCCAGAGAAGCTTCCTGTCAAATCTGAAGGAGCTGAGAAAATGGTCGCCACCTTAGCAGGGAACATGAAGCCTGGCCAGAGCCTCATGAGTCCTGCTGGAGTACGCCTTGGCATTGCCCAGTTCCACAGCAACAACCACCCTTCTGTGTCAGAAAAGGTTCTCTATGGCACCCCAAGCCGCCCACCACTTGCTCCTGTCCAAATGGGCAATGACAGTAACACCCTCCTAGAAAAGTTTGAGCTAGATGGGGGTGCCCTGAGCCTAGCTAATACTCAGCAGCACTCACCAGCAGATGATCTGGACAAGATGGAAAGCTCCCTGGTAGCCAGCGAGCTGCCTCTCCTGATTGAAGATCTCCTGGAACACGAGAAGAAAGAGCTGCAGAAGAAACAGCAGATGTCTGCTCAAATGCCAGGTGGATCGCAACACCTCCAGCCCCACACCATGCTGGCTCACCCTGCACCTTCTTCCCAGCCTCATGATGGGCAACTGGTAAGTCCCCAGCAACAGCTTCAGTTGGGCCTCGTGGCCAGGCAACAGGGTATGGTGGCCAACCAGCAATTGATGCAGCAGCAGCAGCAGCAGCAGCAGCAGCAGCAGCAGCAGCAGCAGCAGCAACAGCAGCAACCACCACGCCTGGCTGGTCCCCAGCAAAGCCAGGTACTGGCTCCACATTTGGGCGTGACTCAGAACCAGGCTCATATGCTTGCCACCCAGCATGGCGTCCAGGCAGCACATGGCCAGCAGAACCAGCAGCAGGTCTTAATGCAGACAACTATGCCTGGAGTGCAGCAGCCGCAGCAGCAGCCACAGCAGCAGCCGCAGCCGCAGCAGCAGCAGCAGATGATAGGACTTAAGCCCCAGCAAGTTGTCATGCAGTCACAGCAGCAGCAGCTGGCCAACAGCTTCTTCCCTGATACAGGTAAGAGGGCTTCTGAGAGGGCTTTTCTACATCAGCTTATTTCATTATGTTTTCAGCAGAGTGTATAATTAAAACTTTGAATGGTTTAAAAATCTGCCACTTCAGTAAGTCACGGGGTCTGGCCAGAAAGAAAATTGCTTGTGAGGGATCCACCACTGTGCATCCCTCACAAAAGCACTATTCTTGATGGGCCGAATCTGATGGCAGAATCAGCCTGGGAAAAGGATAGCCTTTTCCTCAACTGCTCCCTGTGTCTCAAGTTAGCAGAAGATTAATTATGCTTCACACACAGGATGGGATGGGAAAGTGCTTGCTTCCTCCCACAGCCCCTAAAGAGCAACATCTATTCAGATAATACATGTAAGATAGAAACTCGATTTTAAATGTGGTTGAGTGATCAAATTACTTTTTCAAAAGTCAAACTATGACTGGGTTCTTTCCAAAATCTCAAATTGGATGTCCACCCTACTTTCCACCGGGACTGATTGAATTTTAGCTGTGGACCCACGTGACTATCCCATTTGCTAACCTATAGGAAACGTACAGTCATGAACATTAGGGAGGAGACGTCATTCAGCGTCTGACTGGCGTGCGGAAGGTCTCTGGCTCTGTCCCCTGCCTCTCCAGGTAGCAGGAGGAAAGAGTTACGCCTGAAATGCTGTCTGGGACCTGCTGGCTCTCAGTGTTGACAATGTTGGCCTAGACCAGGGGTCTCAAACTCGCGGCCCGCGGGCCACTTGCCGGGATGGGCGGGGCACGGGGGAGGGGCCCTGCGGCCTTCAAAGCGCAGTGGTGGAATACTCGATGCGGCCCAGCCTCACCCAGACTCCTCTTCCAGCTGAGTTTGAGACCCCTGGCCTAGACAGACCAAGAGGCAGACTCAGCATAAGGCAGATTCTTACTGTTTTATTTTTTATTTATTTATTAAAACATTTCTATGCCGCCCCTTGCCAAGGCCAAGGCATGCAACATTCTAAGGGTAGTTTCAAAGACCTAATTGCACTGGGGCAGCATGCATGTTGCCTCTGCAACTGCACCTTGCTACATTGCTGCAGCTGCCATCCACAGATGCTTCGCTGTGCAACTAGAGCACCGCCATGCTGGATCTGTTAGCCTCCATGGTTCCACAAAGCCCAAGGCACCACAACCCAGGGGCTCCCAAATGACCACCAAGAGAACATCCACACCGGGACCAACATGAGGATACTGGGGCTGGCATTGTTTACTGCAGCTTCCTTCTTAATTTTGTAACTTTATACTTAGGGACAGCCCGAGGGGCATACGCATGGTTACAGTAGGGATGTTTGAGAACTGCACTCACGGTGGGCGGGTGGGGAAATCCCCAGCTCAGCTCCCTGGATTCCGGCCTGCTTTCTCACAGCCCTGAGTCCAACTTGGCACCAAAGCGCAGTGAGTGTTTGTGTGTGTGTCTGTCAGGAATTGAGTCCACACAAACACTGCACAAGCGGAGTCCACTTCACATGTGACTTGTGAGCTTTGTATGTGCTGCAGAGTAAGGTTGCAAGGTTGTGCAAGAGGAATTTTGCTGGTGGTGCAACCATTCTTGGACTTAATTTCAGTGTGGCTTGATTCCTAAGCCAGGGCCAAGAACAAGAAAGAAATCCAATGAGCAGAAGAGGGGTGGATCACAACCCTACTTGCTTGATTTAATTTACCGTAGTCTGCAGATGTTTGATTATTTTTACATTAAAATAGATCCTTTTCTATAACAAAAGGTTCCTTATTCCAATGTGTTTAGCATCAGGGCAGCAGGAACAAACAAACATAACAAGGATGTAGAAACAACTGTAAAGTGTGGAATGAAGGTGGAGGGGAGAAAAGAGAGAAATGCTAGTTGTACATGTGTACAGTGGTACCTCGACTCACAAACGCCTCAATTTATGACCAAATTGGGTCACAAACAGAAATTTCTGAAAAATTTTGCCTCGGGTCACAAACTCCACATCGGGTGACAATCGCAATCGCACCTACGATCACGCCTCCCCCCCTGAGCTTGCCTGCGATTGCACCCACCTCCCTCCCAGTGCACCTGCGATCACGTCCGCCTCCCCACCAGTGAGCCCCGGATCACACGCACCTCCCCCTGAGCACGCCCACGATTGCACCCTCCCCCCCCCAAGCATGCCCATTTCAAATTTTTGTGATAAAAAAAATAGTTACAGAACGGATTAACCTTATTTACATTGAACCTTATGGGGAAATTTGACTTGGCTCACGACCAGTTTGGGTCATGACCAGAGTTTTGGAATGGATTAAGTTCATGAGCCAAGGTACCACTGTATAACTGCACTAATGCACATGGCCATCTAAAGCCCACTACCAGCCATAAAGTCTGGAGCCTAAAATTACCAATCAGGCATTGCCCGAACTTTGTCCTAGAGGGTGTGCATTGGTGGCTGTGAGGGTCTAGCTTCCAGCTGTCCTTTGGCAGGGAGTGTTTCTTTAACCTAGCTGCCATTCATTCCCAATAAAACATGCATTAGAACCTCAGTGCTCTGATACTGGGGTGCTAGTGATAGACAGGGAAAAGCCTGGCCCTTTCTTGGTGACATGTGGGAGGAACACAAAGGAGCCATCTCTATCCTGATCGGTATTTGATCTCTTCTTGTTTTTGTTTTTCTTCCTCCTCCTCAAGAAGATCTGGATAAATTTGCTACTGAAGACATCATGGATCCCATTGCCAAAGCTAAGATGGTGGCACTGAAGGGTATCAAGAAGGTCATGGCACAGGGCAGCATTGGGGTGCCTCCTGGCATGAACAGGTAAGCATCGAGCTGTGTGGTTTAGATCTGGGGTTCCAGAGGGCTGTCAGGCATCTCCCTCCAGAGGTAACCGCAGTTGATAAGGGACGTTTGAGCTCCTTCCTGACATGCACCTTCAGAGTGTGTGCAGGTGATGGACTCTGTCCCATCCGTTCTCTAACAGAAGTACTTGTGTGCGTCTTACCTTGCATTTTGTTACCTCTGGGAGGTGGAGGCATAGGGAATGGATGTTCAGGGTTCTTCAGGGAGGTTCGCTGCACCTGATGTATGCCTCCCAGTAGGGCATATGAAGGGAACATGCTGCTTACATACACGCATGCACACATTCCTGCTGAGCCATGGCGGCCCTCATCTGTGATAACTGTGACAAACACTTCATCTTTGTTTTGCCTTTAGATGCACTTGAAGCTAAAATATTTTGGAGTTTTTGTTCTCCGGTATGTGGAGGTTCTTGCTTTGAGAGACTCTGGCATAGCATTTCTCAGTCCTCCAGGCCTCCTGGCCTTACATTTGCTTCATTCTTCCCACCCTTACCCCATCTCACCCTGCCCCCTTCCTCCTTGCAGGCAACAAGTCTCCTTGCTGGCTCAGAGGTTGTCTGGAGCTTCATCTTCCTCTGAAATGCAGAACCACATCCTCCCTGGCTCTGGAGGACAGGTGAGCAATAGTTGGCAGGTCCCAGGAGATCTGTAGTAGTGGAAACAAGGGAAAAGTCGGTGGGCAAGACTGTAGAGTTTCTGATTCGTTCAATTCTCTTGCAGGAGCGGAGCAATGATCCAACCCAGGCTCGTCCAAACCCACCCACCTTTGCTCAAGGTGTCATCAGTGAGTAATCAGGGCAGAATAGCGGGTGCTTGAAGGAGCTGTGTGTTCCTTTTCCTTGACTAGCACTCCAAGATTGAAAGCTGGGCTCTTTCAAGATTGCTCGCTATAGCTTTTCCCAGTCTGACACTTTCCAGATGTCTTGACCTACAGTTCCTATCATCCCCAACAATGCTGCCTGAACTGAGGGGAGTTGTAGATTGATGGGTTGGGGAAGGCTGGTATCTCATTTATGCCAGATTGAAAAATGAGGAATGCCTGCTGCCTCTTGGTTCCAAAACACAATTTCCAGTGTAAAAATGGGAACCCTGACTCCCATTGGCTAAAACTAGCAAGGAGAGGTGGTGAATTCTACCCTTCCTAGCATTATCTGACCACATGCCGTCTACAAATACAGACAGTGCCTCATGGGCAACTGGTGAGTAACTCCTCTGTAAGAAGGAAGCTGGGAACAGAGGACTGTCAGGTGATCCTTTCTTCGGTTTGCATCCCCCCTTGTGACCTTGGCACAATCCGCCGTTCATGACTTCCACTCACCTCGTTCTTATCCATGGGCTTTACCATTCACAACATTGAACGTTGTCATTTACCAACACAAAGTAAGCTCTTCAGAATCTCTCATATCCAAGGAAAGTTTGCATACAGAGGGTCAAACATGCACACTTCCATATCCTGCATTAGTTTGTACAGTATTGAGAGTTGAATTTGGATATAACTGTTAAGAACTGTTCTTTTTTAATGCACTTTGAACCTGTCCTGTGTACACATCTTTAATTTTCTGCATTGGTGGCTCTTTTTCATTTCTAGATGAAGCTGATCAGCGTCAGTATGAAGAGTGGCTTTTTCACACACAGCAACTCCTCCAGATGCAGCTGAAGGTGCTTGAGGAGCAAATAGGGGTTCACCGCAAGTCCCGCAAGGCCTTGTGTGCCAAGCAGCGGACAGCTAAAAAGGCTGGCCGGGAGTTTCCTGAGGCTGATGCTGAAAAGCTGAAGTTGGTGACTGAGCAGCAGAGCAAGATCCAGAAGCAGTTGGATCAGGTAGATCCTCCAAACCAGCTTGTGTTGCATTGGCTAAGTGTGCTGGCTTGGTTCTGGTTATGACCAGGTAGTATCTGGAAGGGGTGTGTGGTGGCTTAAAAGGCATGGATCGAGGCAAAGTATTGACTTCATGCCTCTTCTAAGGAGGTAGGCGGTACGGAAGAAGCTTGATTGAATGAAGGAAAATGAAGGCTGAGATGAGAGAGGGCTGGAAGAGAGAAATGGCATGTTGGCTAAAGGTGTATTAGGGTAGCTCCTAGCCAGAAGAGCAGGTAGAGATGGAGTATTTGCGTGGGGTGGGGGGATACTGAGTTGGTGCTGGCCTCTGTGTATTTAGTGTATCTGTTCAGTCACAGTAAAAGTATAAGATCTGAAGCAGCATCTAAATATCCTCAGCACATGGGCTCCCATTAAAGAAGAAAAAACCAGCTTTATCTTTACTAGAAAAGGGCTTCTAGTTCTTGTAAATATGCCTTCAGTATTTGAGCAAATTGGCCCCTGAGGACAAAGGTGGAATAGATGGATTATCAGCTGCATGAACATCTCCTGCATCTCATCTCATCTCATCTCATCTCCCTCTCCTGCTCTGACAGGTTCGGAAACAGCAGAAGGAGCATACCAATCTCATGGCTGAGTACCGCAACAAGCAACAGCAACACCAGCAGCAAACCTCCACTGTCCTGGCCCTCAGCCCTTCTCAGAGCCCTCGCCTCATGGCTAAGCTGCCCGGCCAGCTGCTTTCCTCACATGGCCTCCCACAGGGGCCACAGGGCCTGGCAGGAGGCTTGCGCCTCCCTCAGGCTTCCCCCATGGCTGTTCAGCAGGGCTTGCCATTCATGGGGCAGCAGCAGCCCCAGCCGCAGCAGCCCCCTGGTGGTGCTGCCCCCAGCAACTTTTTCTCCAGCAACCGTCTCTTGCAGGAAAGGCAGCTGCAGCAGCAAAGGCTGCAGCTGGCCCAGAAATTGCAACAGCAAAACCTCATGGGGCAAGTGTCAATGCAGCAGCATCAGCAGCAGCAGCAGAGCCTCATGGGACAAATGACAATGCAGCAGCAGCAGCAGCAGAGCCTCATGGGACAGGTGTCCATGGTGCAGCAGCAGCAGCAGCAGCAGAGCCTTATGGGACAGGTGTCCGTGCAGCCGCCGCCAAGCAGCTTAGGCCAGGCTGGCTTGATGGGCCAACCCCCTCCTCCACCACCAACACCTCAGCCCAGCCAGAACCTGCTCCCCAAGCAGCAAGGGCTGCTAAACAGCCAGCCAGGAGTCATGGTCCAGCAGCTTTCGCCACCGCCGCCGCCACAGCAGCAGCAGCAGCAACAGCAGCAGCAGCAGCAGCAGCAGCAGCAGCAAGCCATGCTGGGACACCCCATGCTGCAACATCAGGGCATGATGGCTCACCCAGCTTCACAGAGGCAAATGCTCTTGGCTCCACAGCAGCACAGGGCACTGGGCTCCCCTCAGCAGCAGGCCCAGGGGATGATGGGGCATCGGGTGCTTTTGTCGCCGCAGCAGCAGCAGGCAGGGCTACTGGGCCAACAGAGGACTTTGCTGAGTCAGCAGCAGCAGAACAACATAGCGCAGCACCAGACACTGCTGGGCCAGGGGCCAGCTGCCCAGCCCGGGGCGCTGGGGGCAGCCCCTCAGCCGGGTGCCCTCAGCCAGGGGCAGGGTGTAGCCACAGAACCGATCCAGCACTTTGTGCAGCATGGATCTCTGAACCAGCCGCTGCACTCGAGTCAGGGAATGCAGCCCACCCTGCCGCAGCAGCAGCAGCAGCAGCAGCAGCAGCAGCAGCAGCAGCAGCAGGGTCTGGTTGTCAAGGAACAGCAGGGAGGGCCAGAAAGCACCTCTGGGCTGCCACAAGAAGGGCCTGATGGTGTGGTGCTGCAGCCACAGCAACTTCGGCCCCATTTGGTAGGCCAGGAACTGGGAGCACAGCTGCAGATGGGCAGCCAGGAACAACAGGGGATGCCTAGCCGTGGAACACCTCTGCAGGAGCAGCCCTCGCAGCTGATGCTCCAGCAGCATGGGGAGCAGCCAAAGCAGTCAGTTGACATGGGACAGGCACCGCACCTTCTTCCGGGCTCTCAGCAGCAGGGCACCTTGGGATCCCTGCAGCTTCGGATGCAGCAGAAGCAGCAGCAGCAAAGCAGCCATCTGCAGCAGCAGCAGCAGCAGCAGCAAAGCAACCACCTCCAGCAGTCACTGCGGACTCACCTGCCTATAGATGGTATCCTACAGCAAGAGGTGTCTCAGCAGCAGCAGCACCACCACCACCACCGAGATAGCACTCAGGCCTCCAACTTGCTAAATCTGCAGATGGAACAGCACGGTCAAGTGCAAAACATCATGGCTCAGCAGCAAAGGATTGTGGGCCAGAACTTGGAGCAGCCTTCAAAAGGCTTACCAGGGCAGCTCCCTTTGCAGCAGCCGCCGTCGCAGCAGCAGCAGCAGCCGCCGCCGTTGCAGCAGCAGCAGCAACTGCCGTTGCAGCAGCAGCAGCGCCTTCAGAGCCCAGCTGGGCCTTCCAAAACATCAGGGTTGATGGTGCCACTGCAGCAGCAGCAAAGCATGATGGTGCAGCAGTCCTTGCCGCAAGGCCAAAGCATCCTGTCAAGCCCTGTGATGGGCCAGCTCCGTGCCCAGCTTCAGGGGGTCATCTCCAAAAACCCACAGCTTCGGAACCTCACTCTTCAGCAGCAGCAGCAGTTGCAAGTCCTGCTAATGCAGCGGCACCAGCAGAACCTGCTGCAACAGAACCAGGCCTTGCGGCAGGCCAGCCCCTACCCAGGGCAGGCGGCAGCACCAGTGGACCAAGGTCAGCCTACCACTCCACAGCTTTCGCTGCCTGGCGCCGTGGGACAGCCGCCGCCGAGACAGCCTCCTCTCGCTGTGTTCCAAATTCGTCCAGAGCAGGGCCTTGCTGCCTCTGTGGAGCAGCAGAGAGTGCCAGTGAGCCAGCAAGCAACCCCCACTCCCACCAGCACAGGGGTGTCAAGGCTCTCTACCCCGCAGCCTCCCTCCGTGCCCTTGAGCATTGCTGGCATGGCACCTACACCGCCGCCGCAGCACCCTCTTCCTTCAGAACCAAAGAGACCGTCCCCTTTGCTCCTAGATAAAAGCCCTGAGCAGCACCCAGCTCCCACCCAGAAACACCATCCTGCTACCCCCAGCCCCCTGCTGCCTCCTGACCCACCTTCTGTCCCCAGCACAGGGGAGACTGTTCCCGAGACCTGTAGCCTCAGAGACTCAGAGTGCCCCAAAGATCCCGTGGAGTCAGTCAATGGTCAGGTGGCGAAATCCGCTTCCCCACCAGCAGGGAGAAGAGTCCTGCCGTTACCAGGAGACCCTCCCCTTGTGTGTATCAAACAGGAGCCCAAAGAAGAGGCAGCCCAGTGTGCACTGATGAACAGTGCCCAGCCTGTCAAGCGAGAGGCAAATGGGGATCCCGTGTCCACCAGTAATAGCCTCACCCGCACCGAAGCCGGCCACCTCTTGCTGCAGAAGCTGCTGCGAGCCAAGAATGTGACCCTTGCCACACAGCGCTCCGGCGGTGTCAATGGGCACGTGGATGGCAAGCTGGCTGGGGTGGAGGGCCGGTTGCAGGTGGCACCAGACGCGCGAGAGGTGAGCATGAAGGGAGAAGAGAAGCTGCTAGCCTCAGTAGCAGTGGTGTGAATGGGGAATTCATGGTGCTGGGGGCCAGGGGTTAATCTGTTTGGCTGTCCTGCCAGAAAATGCATCTAACAAGTAATTCAGTAAGCAGTTCTTTAAAAACTTCCCTGCATGTGTGTGTTTCAGACTCATGTGTACTGTAGAAAGCTAGAACATGGAGGGGGGAGGAAGTCAAGTACCCATTGTGCTGGTTTGCTGTGGGAGGGATTCTTCCTACATAGAGAAGCATTCCAGAATATGACTCCTTCTCTTCTTCCTGCTTGTCACCTGCAGTCTAAACTAGTAAAGTTTGTAACCTTGCTGCCCACAAAGCAGGTAGTTCTGCAGGGGAGGGGAGGATGAAGAGTGGGATCTTGTATGTCTCCAGAAAGGGACATGCACGTGCCCAGAAAGGTGTGCTGAGAAGTGGAAATTCACTTGCATCTATGTCTGCCTGTCTCTTTTGGGCCACTACAGGATATGCTAGCAGCGAAGAAACCCCCACCACCAAAGCCCAAGAGAGCTCAAAAAGCCGGGGAGCGACTTGCCAACTCCCGTAAGAAGCTGCGCAAGGAGGATGGAGTGAAGACCAATGAAGCCCTAATGAAGCAACTGAAGCAGGTACACCCCCCAGTCTACCTGCTGTGTGGGGTGCCAGCTGACTGAAAGACTGGGTGGAGATTTCATGAGTGCCTCTGTATTTCTCTCAAATGTCAGCGCATAAAGAAAGCAAAGAATTGCCATTTAATACGTTAGGAGCTGCACAGGTTTTATAGCCAGCCATAGCAGTGAGGAGTGAGGAGGACATAGAAAGTGGTAGCTGCTAGCATGTTGCAAAGTGGTACATCTTTGCAGAACTAGTTTTCTCTTCTGTAGACGGCTTGAATAAAAGGATAGGATACTGCAGTTACATGTAATGCTTTGGAATCTGTTGTATGTGCAGAATTGGAAGGAAAGACCATGTAGGTTTGTATGTGTTAGAAGTAAAATCACCACAGGCAGACAGTCCTAACCAGTTATCTATTCTGTTTTATTCTGGCTTTTGTTTGTTTTTTCTTACTAACCATAAAGGGGGAAGGATGTGCAGCACAAACATGTAATACAGGCCCCCACCAGCTTATATGCCAAGATAGCAATACAAACAGCAAATCTCATCAGTCATGAAATTTAAAAGTTCCTAGTTGATTTTTTGAAATTGCTTTTTTCTACATTTCTGAAATTATACCATGGCACCTTTCTTGTTGTTCAGTTGCAAAGTTATGTCCAACTCTTCACAACCCTGTGGACAACATTCCTCCAGGTTCTCCTATCCTCCACCATCCCCCAAAGTCCACCCAAGCTCACACTGACTGCCTCAGTGACTCCCTCCAGCCACCATGTCATCTGCCGCCCCCTTCTCTTTTTGCTGTCAATCTTTCCCAGAATCAGAGTCTTTTCCAGTGAGTCCTTTCTTCTCATTAGGTGGCCAAAGTATTTGAGCTTCAGCTTCAGTAGCTGGTCCTCTAAAGAACAATCAGGGTTGATCTCCTCTAGGACTGACCAGTTTGATTGCCTTGTGGTCCAAGGGACTCAAAGGAGTCTCCTCCAGCACCACAATTCAAAGGCCTCAGTCTTTTGGCACTCACCCTTCCTTATGGTCTAGCTTTCACAGCCATACATTGCAACTGGGAAAACCATAGCCTTGACTATATGCACTTTTGTTGGCAGGGTGATGTCTCTGCTTTTTAGTATGCTGTCTAGATTTGCCATAGCTTTCCTTCCAAGGAGCAAGCATCTTTTAATTTCTTGGCTGCATTAAAAGATACCTTAAAAAGACACATTAAAAAGGCACCTTTCTTACTATGCGGCAAACCTATCTAACTTCTGAGAATATTAGATTGGATTCACATGATGCATCTGTTAGTATTTTGCAGTTGTCACTTGCCATAGACACAGTCTCTGCATTGAACTCATGTTCAGCTTGTTTTATTAACCTGCTTCCATAATTAGTGTATTGCTGGATCCAAAGTGGAGGCCTTATCTCTTGAAAAATGGAGGATTGAGTGGCATTCTTTTTCCCCTTTTAGTTCCATTTGTTTCATTGACGTATATTTCTGGCTTCCTAAGTAATATTTATAGCCACCAGACTCTGTGTGTGTGAGAGAGGGATGGGAAGAAGAAGTAGGCATTTAGGGCACGTCCCTATGTCATGCTGGCTGGGGAATGATGACACTGTAGAACTTCCTGCTGTGTAACCTGCACAGAATTGTGCCTTTAGTCATCTGTCTTTTGGGCCTGTAAATCCTATCAACAGCACTGGCTGTCAGTCTCCTGGGATCAGTGCCCGAAAGATTCCATGAATATCCTTGAGCAGGAGCTACAGTTTAGCCTCTGTTTTTTCCATCATAGTAACGGTTTTGCAGCCTAAGCTGGAATCTTGAGTGCTGGCAATGCATATCCTTTTCCCTTTGCTGTACAGGGCCCTCTTTGTCTCACCCTGGTGTGTGTGTCATATCTGAGTGCATCCCTCACACAGTGTCTAGGATCTGTCAGTCAGTGCATGAAGAGTCACCTGCCTGATTCAGTTCTCTTTTCTCAGGAACTCTCCCTGCTGCCTCTCATGGAACCTGTTATTACTGCCAATTTCAACCTTTTCCCACCCTTTGGGAGCAGCCCAATCAACGGCAAGAGCCAACTCAAGGGTTCTTTTGGTAACGCGGCCCTGGACAGCATTCCAGACTACTACTCGCAGCTTCTCACAAAGGTATGTATCGCCAGCTGCTTCCTGAAGATGGAGTAGTGTGCTGGCTGGCTCTGTTGTTCACAGAAAGTTCCTAGGCAGGCTGGCTGGCTCACATGTCCCTCCTGCCAAAAGCTTTGGTGGATTGGCAGCTTTGTGAAGAGCCCACTGTGTGCCTGGCAGACATTTACACTCACCCTGTATTGCTCTTCCCCTCCTTATCCTTTTGTCCTCCAGCCGGTATCCCAAGGAATGCCATGGCATGATTTATATCCCCACCCCTAGCTCTTTTGTTCCCCGTAGCTTTTAAATTCTTTCCCCTCATTTTGACAGCCCTTCCAAAGTGCCTAAGCAATACATTGGAGGGGTTACCACTAGCTGTTTTGGTTCCCTGAGTAGGGCAGCGGATGCTCTATGGGCCTCCAGAGTTGCCTGCATAAACAACACATCGGTTTCGCTCCCCAAACGAAAGCAAAAGACAAAGCCTCTTGTCATGGATCTTATAAAATTCCTCGTTTCCTAATTCAGAGCTCCAAGAACACCAGCAAGGTTGCACTCCTTCTGGCCCTTTCTTGGCAGAGGTCTTTCAACAGGGCTACCAAGGTAGTTTCCAATCTAAAACCAGGCCTAAAGTTTGATTGAAATTGATCTAGATAATCTGTTTCATTCAAGAGTACTTGGAGTTGGCTGGCAGCCACTTGCTCAAGCAGCTTGTCCAAGAATGGAATATTAGCAAACAACCAGTAGTTGTTAATGCTGAATCCAAGTTAGGCATTTTCAAGAGTAATGTCGCCGCTGCCTCCCCTAAACTCCCCCTATCAAGGAAGAGACAGTGACCTCCTGGACTCAGCCAGGTATCCCGTCCTTAAATAAGCTGCGATGGGCAAGGGTCAGGCACATGTGTGATCAACTGGATTTTGCCGAACAGACTGAACCAGACCGTGACTTAAGGAGCTGATTGTCACAGAGCAGCTGCCAGTTGCCGGTCCCTTACTTTGTGGCCTCGGAGTTGCATGTGACTTGCCGACTCCCCAACACCACCAGAATCTCTGTGTTTTGTGCCGCTTGCACTGTGTGCCGTCAGTATGTAGCTCTGCCTCTGCACAGCTTTGAAGTCCTGCCCATCTCAGGCTCTAGCACCTGTAGCAAATGGAGAGGGCTGGAAGCCAGAGGAGGAAACATCAGTCTGCTTGAGGTTCAGAAGACAGTCACAAAGCGGGTGGAGCCAATGTCTGTCTCATCGGGGCGAAGTGGTGTTTTTTCTTCCCGATTCTTTGTGAAATTTGCATTATACCCTTCAACAAGTAGGTGCTTGAAGTGTGCCTCACAAGGTTAAGAGACAGGGTAATATCAGAATTCTGACAATGATACCAGAATAAAGCATTTTGAAGGCAAAAACAGCAGAGGGAGCCTCACAAGTAAAATGAGAATAGCTTTTTAAAAAAGCAGTAATTCAAAAGGCTCAAGAAAATAAAAATGTTTTCACCTGCTGCCACAGCAGGCTTGGCAAGCAAGGAGTATTCTATGGGATAAAGGCTTACTTACAGTTTATAAGTAACCCATAATGGAAGCTCTGTTGGAGGGCAATAGAGAAGCATTTTGCATTTATTTGTGTTATTTATAGGCTTCCCCATAGCAAGGAGTTATCGCTGTAGCTCACAAAGTAAAATAATCAAGCTGTAGAAGTGTAGGGTTGGGGAACGGGTATCTAACATGATGGTATCTAAGAAGCTTTGGAGAGGAGGAGTCGGGTGGGGGACTGCGGTGAGTACTGACTGCTCTGCTCCCCATCTAGAACAACTTGAGCAACCCACCCACGCCACCTTCTTCACTGCCCCCCACACCACCACCCTCTGTACAGCAAAAGCTGGTGAATGGAGTTCTGCCTTCAGAGGAACTGACTGAGCAGCCCAAGGAACCAGTACTGCCCCATGAGCCCGAAGGGCAGAAGGGTAAGGTCCATTGTGAAGTATTGCTAGTGCTGTCGAATTCTGGAATGTTCTAGGATGTGGTCCATTTCTGGGTTAGGTGACCTATAGAAGCTGCTCTAAATTTTCTTGTGGAAGAGAAAGTAGAAGTGCCATCGATCTAGGAGAACTAAAATAAATCTACTTCAACCCTTGGGATAATGGGAATAGATTTTGGAATTCCTAATATTAGTGAAACATGTATAATCCTGCTGGAGTTAATTATGTTAATAGCTGTGGCCTTCCTTCTTGGTCTAGCAGCATACTTCATACATCAGTGCAGCAAATTTAAAGGGGAAATAGGAAGAAGGGTGTTAGGCAGAGAGTGGGGATTTGGAGAAGATGGAAGAATATTGAGCGCTTCAAAAAGTGCCATGCAAATGTGAATAGTTTATAACCATAATTACAGTTCTTATTGGGGCTGAGTTGTTCCCCAAACGCATTTTCTGAGGATTTGCCTGTCATTTGATTTTAAAGTTTTCATAAACTGCTTTTCTTGTTAAAAAAAAAAAGTTCACAACTACTTCCAAAAGAAATATGAAGCAATAGTCATAAAAGGCAGCAGAACAAAAAAAGGTGATGATCCACTACTTCTTAAAACAGGAGGGCTTTTTAAAAAAAATTAATACATTTAAAATTAACCATTTAAAAGAGATGTAAAAAGTGGTAAAAAGGCAGCCTTTTAAATGGAAAGGTTTTACTGTGTCTCCTACATGTTAAGTTGTGGTGCATCTCTTTTGGGGTAAGGGCATTCCAGATACACAACACCGCCACTAAAATGACCCTCTCCTTTGTTGCCAACCCCTCGGTTTTTTGCCTGGGGCACATGTTTATAGATGTTCCTTCTGTGGAAGTGAAAAGCTTGGACCTCCTCGCAGCTCTGCCCACGCCACCACACAACCAGACTGAGGATGTCAGGTAAGGGGAGAGGCCTGACAAAGCAGGGGCACAGCAGAGGGTCCCAGTGAAACCATGCTATGTTCCAGGGCCTTACTTCATTGCAGGAAATGAAAGCTGTACGCTGAACTGTTGGCCGAGGAAAGGAAAACCTTTCTTCTGGGGCCTCTAGCGTGGGGTGACGTTGTTGGGGAGTATGGAGAATGGATATCTCCTCCCTCCAGCAGTTCAAAACGGCAGTCTTAAGAATACTACTGAGAAGAGGAGGGAGGGAAGGTTGAAGACGTATAGAGGAACAGAATGAACTTCCGTAGCACAGCTCTGGGACGTGGCTGTTTCTGTCTGGGAGGACAGAATGCAGGCTTGGGAGAGCTCTTTTTATTTTTTACTAGAACTCCCACAAATCAATGCAAGTTGCAAAATGCTTTTTTTGAAGGCAGAGGCAACTATGTACTGAACTCTGTGAGCCACCTTTTGGAATGAGCTGCATACACAAATACAGATCTACTTCTAATTTCTTACAAATGAGAGGTTCTATTTATTTAATTAATTCCATTTCTGTGCTGCCCCAGAACCCGGAGGTTCTCTGAGCGACTTACAAAGCTAATGTTCCAGTAATTTAATCTAGACCTTTAATGCTGCTGCTGTTCATTAACCCTGGTTGGAGAGCTTTGTTAATCTGCAGGAAAACATGGAGAAGTTTGCCACTAGATCCTCACCTGCCTTCTACTCACCCTGAACTGTAGACTGGTGGGCTGGGTTGCATCTCCCAGCACACTCTGTGGGTTGCAACATCCCCAGGATACTTGCAAAAGTGCCCCTATATTGTTTAAGCAGTCTCTGCAATTCCTCTGCAGAATGGAGAGTGACGAGGAAAGTGACCCCCCTGATAGCATTGTCCCGGCATCGTCGCCTGAGAGCATCCTGGGTGAAGAGATGCCACGCTTTCCACTGCTGGCTGGAGTCAAGTGTGAGGTGGAGGAGTGTCCGCTGTCCCCTGTCATACCTATAATCCCCAAGGCCAGCATCCCAGGTTTGTGAGAGCTGGAGAAGCTGGGAAGAAGAAGGGGAAGGTGGCATGTTCAGCGTGGACTGGCATAGGACTTAAACCAGGGGTAGTTAGCCTGGTGTTCTCCAGGTGCTATGGACTGGAACTCCCATCTTGCTGGCAGGGGATCCTGGCAGTTGTAGTCCAGAGGATCTGGAGGGCAGCTACCCTTCATTCAGACTCTGCTGCTGCTTGTGTTCTCCAGGGGCGAAACTGCCCAAAGGGCTTCTGAGGTGGTCTCTAGAGGGCAGAGGAATCTCTTGCAAGCCGCTTTTCGTGACGTGCAGGCTGCTCCCACAGCCAAGTGGGGACCTGTTTTTCTGCGTGGAATTTCCATGCCCTTTCTAAAGTGGTGTGCGTGCTTGTCCAAAAAGCGTTTCTGATGTGAGCCTTTCTCTTGCACTCCTCAGCTTTTCCAGATGTCAAGCCCTATGGGGCCCTGGAGCAAGCAGGAAAGGGGGCAACAGGCACTTCCTGGGACAAGGCCAAGGGCAGCGAGGTCTCCGTCATGCTTACAGTGTCTGCAGCTGCTGCCAAGGTATGGGGCCAGCCTAGAAGTGGGCCTCACTTGGGGCCACTGAGCAGATGGAAGTACTCGGGAAGTGGTGCATTTGTTTTCACATATGGCAGTTTGGGGATTATGGGATTTTCCACCAGGCCCAGGCAGCCTGCTCAGTGGTGGGAAATGATGTGAGTTGTAGTCCAGCAGCATCTAGAGCAAGGGTCTCAAACTCAACTGACCTGGGGGCCGCTGGAAGTAGAGTCTGGGTGAGGCTGGGACGCATCGAGTATTCCACCACCGCAGTGGTGGTGGGCCGCTCATCCCGCGGCCGGCCCGGGTGCCGCTGGCGCTTTGAAGGCCGCAAGGCCCCTCCCCCATGCCCCGCCCGGCCTGGCAAGTGGCCCGCGTGCCGCGAGTTTGAGACCCCTGGTCTAGAGGGTCTTGGATTCCCCACTCCTGGTATAAGGGCTTCTGTGAGCCCAGCATTTGCTTCAGGTCTGGCCACTGGGCTGAAATACAAGGGGGGGGGGGGGGGGGCTATATGGGAAGCCATTTCTGTGCCATCCTTGGTATTCCTCCATCGGTGCGGTGCAGCAGATTTGAGCTCAGTTCTTACTGCAGGAAAGAAGAACCCCTCCTGCTGTGTCATGTGAGCCCCCCCCCCCACCTTGGGTCCTGCAACTCTGTTGTGCAGAGCACTGCGCATAAAGTGATGCATAGCCGCTTGTATGCCAGGGAGCTCAGGGTGGCCTGCAAGGGGTTATCTCTTCTTCTGTATTTATGTCCATTTGGTGGTGTTGCTGCTGTTGCTGCTAGCTACCTTAAACATCCTTTGGTGGAAAAGCAAGTAAGTTAACGCATAGTGAGCTGTATTTTAAAAAGCCTGTATGATGGTTATAGCACCATGTGCAGGTGGAATTTTTGAGTGGCTCAGCCGCCTACTGCCCCTTCCTGATTCTTTCCATCCTCCCCAGAACCTGAATGGTGTCATGGTGGCAGTGGCAGAGCTGTTGAGCATGAAGATCCCCAGTTCCTATGAAGTGCTCTTTCCAGATAGCCCCATGCGGAGTGCTGTCACGGAACCCAGGAAAAGTGAAGCTAATGCACAGGGTGAGTATCCTGACCTGGACAGGACCTTGGTAATATGCCTTTGTGGTTTCTCCACTGCTGATTCATGGGCTCCTGTTTTTTTCCTCTCTCTTTCCCTCTCTCAGGCAAAGAGAAGCCAGTGACTCCAAAAGGCCCTGAAGGTGGTCCAGAATGGCTGAAGCAGTTTGATGCTATGTTGCCTGGTTACAGTCTCAAGAATGAGCTGGACATCTTGACATTGTTGAAGCAGGTACAGGCAGGGCAGGAACCTTGCACAGACTGCATTGGCCCGTCTTCAATGAACAGTGTTGACCACTGGGTTATGTTCTTGTTCAGGCTGATTAACAGAGGTTTAGCACAAGGGTGGGGAACCCAAGGGCTGAATTTTCAGTTTCAGAGAAGCTCTGCGGCCCCATTCCAACGCTGGAGCTGCTTGAAGACAAAAGGAGATAGAACCACAAATACCAGGAATATTGTCGCTTAAAGCTCTTGCTAAGCGTGAGGAAAGGCGTCTCGTTCTTTTAGAATGGGGAAGGTTGGGAAACCACAAGTGATTGGCAGTTGGGAGGAAATGGGCTGTCTGAGAAACCTTGAAGGACTTGGCTGTGCAGATAGCCCAGATCTGGACTATTGTGGTGGCCTATAAATTGGATGGATGGATGGGGCCCTTGTCTTCTTGCAGCTTCTCTTCCAATTTGAAATCTATTCATCTTCCTTTGAGGGGGCAGCCAGGCTGTCCCCCCCCCCCCCGCCTATTTATTCTACTTTATGTTGTGTGTTCTTAATGCTACCATTCCTATATTTTTCCTGTGGTCCTTGGCCAGCTGCAGTGCATGGGGCCTAGATACCCACATGCACTAGTACTTCATACATGCCTGGTATATTGGAAAAGCAAGATATTGGAATAGGAGAAAAAACTACTTCAGCATCCACACATATTTTCCCATCAGCCTTGAAACTTAGTTACTGTAGGAATGGCCTGTAGAAGGAGAAGGAAGCTGATCATCTGAATGTACATTTGTTTAAAAAGCACGTTTCTAAACTGCTGGGAGTGCAGTGATGCATCTGTGAAATGCTTCAGTGCTTGAAAGGTTGGTGTTTCTGTTTGCTATGCAAGCACATGCTTCTCCCATGACCTCCAGTTGTTTACTTACCAGCCACCCAACTCCTTAGAAAGGAAGGTGTGGCAGAGGCCCGAGGGCCTGTTGGTGGCACTTGGGCATGAATGCAGTCTGCAGCACCCACAGCCAATGCAAATACCTTGCCGTGCTTGCAGAGACCCTAAAACCAAACATGCTGGTTGTCAAAATGCGGCTGAGATCCCTTCTCTCAAATAGTGTGTCTGTCTTCCTTTTTGTTCCAGGAGAGCCCAGCTCCAGAAAAGACTGCTCAGCACTGTTACATCAACAATGTTGCTAACCTGGATGTACGGCAGCTGTTGACCCTCCCTGAAGAGCCCTCCCCACCCCTCTCCCCCTTTGCCCCCTCCCCACCCAGCCCCCCCAGAGCTTCAGAGCTGGCCCCAGAGCCTGAAGTCCCCTCAGAGCCTGCTCCCTCTCCTTCCCCGCCTTCCCCTAAGGAGGAAGCTCCACAGTCTCCCCCAAAAGCCAAGCCTCGTTCCCGGCCCCTGGAGGATGGCGAGGAGAGCAAGCCGCGGCTGAAGAAGTGGAAAGGGGTGCGCTGGAAGCGGCTGCGCTTCCTCATCACCATCCAGAAAGGGGGAGGCCCCAAGCGCGATGGGGACAGGGAGGTCAGTGAGTTCATGGAGCGCCTGGCCACCACCCTCCGGCCCGAGAAGGTGCCACGGGACTTGCGGAAGTGCTGCTTCTGCCATGAGGAGGGTGATGGGGCCACGGACGGCCCAGCACGACTCCTGAACCTGGACCTGGACCTGTGGGTGCATCTCAACTGTGCCCTGTGGTCCTCAGAGGTGTACGAGACCCAGGGCGGGGCCCTCATCAACGTGGAGGTGGCTCTGCATCGGGGCCTGCTCACCAAATGCTCGCTTTGCCAGAAGACCGGGGCCACAAACAGCTGCAACCGCATCCGCTGCCCCAGCGTGTACCACTTTGCCTGTGCCATCCGGGCCAAGTGCATGTTCTTCAAGGACAAGACGATGCTGTGCCCACTGCACAAGCTCAAGGGCCCCTGTGACCAGGAGCTCAGCACCTTTACTGTCTTCCGGAGAGTCTACATCGAGAGGGACGAGGTCAAGCAGATCGCCAGCATCATCCAGCGTGGCGAGCGCCTCCACATGTTCCGGGTGGGGGGCCTGGTCTTCCATGCCATTGGGCAGCTTCTGCCCCACCAGATGGCAGACTTCCACAGTGCCACCGCACTCTACCCCGTGGGTTATGAGGCCACCCGCATCTATTGGAGCCTGCGGACCAACAACCGGCGCTGCTGCTACCGCTGCACCATCTGCGAGAACAATGGCCGGCCAGAGTTCGTGGTGCAAGTGATGGAACAGGGTTTGGAGGATTTGGTCTTCACAGACTCCTCACCACAAGGTAGAGGGATGAGCTTGGGCACGAGGCCTCGTTTTCATGGGGTGTTGCTCGTTTTTGAGGGCAACTGGGAGCTGCTTCCCCTGAAAAATCCCCCACATTCTTCTGCGCTAAATTGAGCTGCAGGGACTAGAAAAGGCAAGTCCTGATCTAGAATAGTTCGTACAAAATGCCCAGCATATGTCATAGAATCATAGAACAGCAGAGCTGGAAGGGGCCATGAAGGCCACTGGGTCCAACCCCCTGCTATTGCAGGCCACCAGTTTACATCATCCCACTCAGATGGATGAGTTCAATCACTCCCACTTTCAGTGCATTTTTCTAAGTGGAAAAAAAAAATCTGGCAGTTCAACCATATTATTTAATCATGATTACCATTTTGCATTATAGAAACTGTAAATTGTTCAAAAATGTTGGTGGACCAGAGCCATAATGATATGTAATGAGGCAGTGGCCCCCACCTCCCAATCCCACAGTATGTTCCTTTGCAACTCCTCAGGTTCTTGACAAGTCAATTTAGATGAGCTCTGTGGGAGCTGTTGCTTTTGCTGTCTGTTAGGTTGTTTCAGCCAGTTACATATCTTGTTCCTGTCCTTACTAGAGAGAGGTGTAATTCTGGACAATGTACATTATCAAAGGTTTCACAAGAGAACTAGGATTTTGCAGTAAAACTACATTTCCTGAATGAAATGAGCAAGTGAATGTTACAAAGTCAACATGATTCAAAGATTTGTTTTTAGTGTTCTATCGAATCCTGACCATTAGGGGCTTGACTCAGGGTGATGACCTGGGCAGAGGAATTAGAAGCAGTAGGGCATGTGCTAGCGGAGCAAATACAGGTACTCTGCAGCAGGGCAGCAGCCCCTTGCTCAGTCCTGGTCCAGGAGATGTTCTGGGCTTTCTGCATTCAGTCACTGATCATCTCCTAGGTGGTCTTAGTGCTTGCTTATTGCCATCTTAGGATCGTGTGCATTTTCTGTGAGGCTTCTTTAAACCCTTCCTGGAGTCACGGGATCCTCTGGGTGATGACTGCAGCAAGGCAAGGCAGTGTGAGGAGTTTGGAGCCCTAGATCCTTTTTTACCCAGAGGATTCTCTGAGCGCCTCACTTCATGGGCAAGGGTGAGAAGGGGTCCTCTTTCATTCTCCTCCCTTCCTCTTCCCCTGCTACAGCTGTGTGGAACCGCATCATTGAACCAGTGGCCATGATGCGCAAAGAAGCCGACATGCTGCGACTTTTCCCCGAGTATCTAAAAGGAGAAGAGCTCTTCGGTTTGACGGTGCATGCTGTGTTGCGCATTGCTGAGTCTGTATGTATCAAACATGAGAACCCCAGCTAGAGAAATTTGGCATGTGGGCCACTGGGGGTGGATCATGGGGCAGGAAGATGAGTAACCAATGTAAGATCCCGGGAAGCAGAGAGAATATAAGCTGGGTTCAAGCTCGGGCATGGCTCTTTCCATAGGATTAAAGAGCAGCTGATCCTGAGCTGCTGTGCAGAGGCGGCTTCTGGGGGTGGAGTGGCTGATCTTGCTCCAGACCCTTTTTAATCTGCTGAGCTATGTGCCGTGCGGATGGCTTTGTGCTGGGAACCCCTGAACTATGTTTGGGGAGATGGGTCAGCACCATGCAAGAGGGCCGTGGGGGGGAGTGCTTGTGCAGCAGGACTGCAGCACCAGCGCACAAAAGGTCGTGTGCTCCTTCTTGTCCCAGCTGCCTGGCGTAGAGAGCTGCCAGAACTACCTGTTCCGCTACGGGCGCCATCCACTCATGGAACTGCCACTCATGATCAATCCCACTGGCTGTGCTCGATCAGAGCCCAAAATCCTCACACACTACAAACGGTGAGCATGACCCATACCTGGACAGCTCCTCGGGGTGGAGGCCTTCACTGACAATGCGCAGGCCTCTCTGAGACAACTGCAAGACTCTGGTTCCGGGGGAGTAGCCTTTAAAGGGAGGGGGCCTGGCTCAGTGGTAGAGCGCCTGCATGGCATGCAGAAGGCCCAAGGTTCGACCTCTGGCATCTGAACTCTGGAAGGGCAAGATAGTTGTTGTTGGGAAAGCTCTCTCCCTGCCTGGGCCCACAGAGGGCCCCTTGCTGTCAGCACAGCAACGAACAAATAGTCCGAGCTGTGTGAGCAGCCTCCCAAGTTTGCATGGTGCAAAAACCTCACCAGTTACTGACAAGTTATCCGTAGCTCATGAAACTACCAAATGCAGAAAGTGCCTCATGTTGCTCTGCCATTTGAGGGAGAATGACTTGCTAATTTAGGGCTCTAGAATTGTATGCTTTAGAGGATTATAAATTCTGTAACTGAAACAAATTTGGTTGAAGTTAATTCTACTTCCATGTATCTGTGTGTGTGCACGCATGCACATGAAACAGCATTGGGTATGTTTTACACGGGTTTAATTGTGAATCTTAGGGCACCATCCAAGGGCATTTAATTTTAGAAAGTTCAAGTTAGCTGCCATTTTAGTAGTACTAGAAATGCTCTGGACTGTATTTTGTGATCCACACTATGATGCTAACTAAGCCACTTTCTAGATTCCTGAAGTAATCATTGAGGTTCAGTTGCCATTGATAAACAGCTGCATCAGTCAGAATTGCTGCCCTGAAGATGCTGACCAAGCAGGGGCTAGATGAAGCTTCCTCAGACCTCTTGCCATTTGCAAACTCAAACGTAATGCCAGTGTAGCCATTCTTTGAGGTTGGCTGCATCTGAGCATCGGGTGTCCCAACTCTTAATAGCAGGAATGGGGACAGCCCAGCCCCTCCCCTCTCCCCACTTCAGAGAGACAACTCTGTTAAGAAGCGCAGCTCTGCATAGAGAGGCATCTGGCCTCCTGGAGTGCCAAGCTGGGAAGCGGAAGGCATGCAGGGGTAGGGCTTTAGGGGAGAGGGGCCTGTGGCCAGATGTCCTCAGCCTCTGGATGGGGGCTGTCCCAGGAAGCCATCTGTCCCTGGGTCCCCTGCTTTGTTGCACCCTCAGTATGTCTGTCCTTGGCTCCCCAGCCAGTAGGCTTAGTATCTTTTTTCCCCTCTCCGCACTTTTCCAAGGCCCCACACTCTGAATAGCACCAGCATGTCCAAAGCTTACCAGAGCACGTTCACAGGAGAAACCAACACGCCATATAGCAAACAGTTTGTGCACTCCAAGTCCTCACAGTACCGCCGCCTCAAGACCGAATGGAAGAACAACGTGTACCTGGCCCGCTCCCGCATCCAGGGGCTGGGGCTCTATGCAGCCAAGGACCTTGAGAAGCATACCATGGTCATTGAATACATCGGCACTATCATCCGCAACGAGGTGGCCAACAGGCGCGAGAAGATCTATGAGGAGCAGGTAGGGGGAGCAGGACAGCGGATGGGGCAGAAACACCAGGCCCCTCTGTTTAGTGGCTGTGAGGGGGTCTGGCTTAGGAGCGAAGGGTCCTGCTTTGGGCCAGTGGTACTCATCTTGCTGGAGAGAGCCTTGCCTTGGGGAAGAGCCAGCGGTTTGGTATCATTCTGGCTTATGTCGGACGTTACTTTCTTCACCATTCCTGGAATCAGGAAGGGAAATGGACTTGGCAAATGGTATGGGTAGGGAAAAATCAGACTTTGGTCTGAAATTTCCTCCTGCAAGATCCATGTGTTTTGTGGACTGACTTGGTGCTAATTCTCTCCCTATATTGATCCCATACACACACATTTTTTAAAATGGGGAATGGTAATGACTAGGGACAAACACTTTCACATATGTTCATTATGCATTTCTGTATTTATCTGGAGGTTTTTATAACCTTGTGAAAATTCATGTTTTGAATACATGTTGCTAAATATTCATTTCTTCAAATTATGTATTTTAAATATTTTTATACATCCTTTGAACCCCAAAAAATGTGTGGAATGTAAAATCAAGTGGATAAATATATTCCAGTCCAGACAAGATCAATGGATATCAGAATGTGGAAGTATCAAAGGCTTCAGACTTCCCTGTTAATGCCTTTCCTTGCAACATGGGTGTGATTGTGAACAAGGTGTACAGTTGGCTGATTTAGTTCCAGTTGCTGGGCAAAATGGATCCTCCAGTTCCATTGCCCCATACAGTTACCATATTACCACATGGCTGTAGCAGGAGCCACGTGGAGCAAAATTTTCCCTTCTGTCCAAATGTTTAAGAACCCCCTCAGGATCTAAACCCGATAAGCCATATTCCTTAGCAGAGCACAAAAACAACCTAGAATTGTGAAATTATTGGCAGAGGTTGCATACTGGAGACACTGGTTCCTAAACATGCCGTATAATTCCCCCCCCCCCGCCCTGCCTCCACAATATATTCCAGAACCGAGGGATCTACATGTTCCGTATCAACAATGAGCATGTCATCGATGCCACGCTGACTGGCGGCCCTGCCAGGTGAGTGAGGCTCCGCTCTGAAATTGCCAAAGGCTTCACTCTTTTGGACTTTTTATGGGATTTGTGGGGAATCGGCTGATTTTAAAGCTGACAAAGGAAAATACCTGTTTTAAATCCTTGAAGTCAATAAAGAAAATTAGCCCATACGTTTTCTGCACAAGTATCCATACTTATTGACTGGACTTGCATGACATTGCAACCTGTCATGGGTAAGTAGCCACAGTTGGTTGTCAAATCATGCAACCCAGAGCACTTCCTTAATAAGCCTCCCTGAAAACCCATGGTTTGTTTTAGGGGTTGTTGGACTTATGGTGGGTTTTTGTGTTCCCCAAACGTGGGTGACCAACCCTGTTTCAGATTGTGGGAAGTGGTGCATAACATTCTTTCCTCCCTCCCTCCCACAAACACACACACATATACATACATGCACACACACACGCATGTACATATGTACGTATGTGTTAAAGCTACACATGTATATGTCTGTGTGACTCCTTTGCGAGACTTTGGGCTCAGTGTGCAGCTTTAACATGTGGCCTATAGAATAAACTTCCCAAAAAAGTGATGAGGTGAATTTGTTGGCCCCACTGCCAAAAAGATAAAGCCTAAAAATACTACACCCAAGGTTTGTTTGACCATTGAGGATGCCATCTGACAGAGCCTAGGCTGTGACCCAAGAGTCTGATTCTTTTTTTCCAGCTTTCTTTTGACCCGGTAAGCCCTTAGGGTCAGGGTCAGGACTGTTCCCTAGATTGCAAGAGCATTCCAAAAATTGTCGTACTTCACAGCACAATATGGATTCTCAAAGTCCACCTTGTGGGGCCTCACTGAAAAGAGGAGCCATAGCAAAGGGTCAGGTGTCCCTTTGTTGCACTCACGGATGTTTCTCCCTCTTCTGTTCCCCCAGGTACATCAATCACTCCTGTGCACCCAATTGTGTGGCTGAGGTTGTGACGTTTGACAAGGAGGATAAGATAATAATCATCTCAAGTCGCCGAATACCCAAGGGAGAGGAGGTGAGGATTGGATGGTGGTGGAGTGGCGAACAGGGAGAGCAAGGCAGCTGTGCCTAGGGGAATAATCCTCAAATGGCACTGAATAGGGGAAGAAAATGCTTGTAGATGCTGGGCAACTTGTGCCCCTCCAAATGTTTTGACCTACGTCTCCCATCAACAGTGACTAGAATTCATGGGATTTGTAGGCCAAAATATGTCCAGGGCCATAAGTCACCCACTCCTAATTTTAGAACATTGTTCCCCAACCTGGACCTTTCAGGATGTTTTGGACCACAATTCCCATCAACCATAGTGAGCATGGCTATTGAGTAGGGATAATGAGCGGTTGTAGTTCAAAGCACCTCGGCTATTGGGTGGTATAAAAATGAAATGCATACATATATACATCATGTTGGGAGAAGGCTGATTTAGAACATTTTAGATCCTGCCTTGCCTCCATCACAAGCAGCTGCTGTATTGTCCAGCAAGTCCAATACTGTGGACATTGATTGGCAGTGAATGATCAGGATTTCAGGCAAGCTTCTTTCCTTGCCCTGCCTGGAGATCAAACCTCAGAGCCTGCATGTAAAGGAGCTTCTCTGCCCTTGAGCCAGACCCTTCCTAACATAGAACTCAAGGTGGGCTTCCAAAGTGGTTTCTCATCTTGTCCTCTCTCACTCTATACCAGCATTTCTGGGTATGTTGTGTTTCTGGTTCCACTGCCTTGTGCATGCACAGAGTTTGAGCAACAGAGTAGTCTAAATCATGCCACAATGGCATAGCAAGTGTGCATGAGTTCCAGGAATTCACGTAGTTTAATGAATAGTCTATTATTCTATGCATTCAAGTCCTGTGGATTTTTGCTGATAACATTGAAATGTTGGTGCATCATCCATCAGATTGGTTTTCCATCTGCAGTGTAGCAGCTGTGTACATCATTCCACCAATGAAAAGCAAACAGACTTTGGTATACCTGTGGGGGTTATTCAGATGCATCCTCCTTACCTGTGTGCTGTTACCTCCCCTTGTGTGCAAAAATACATTTCCCAACTCTTAAGTTACGTGAGGATATGCCAGAGTGCTCTTGTCTCTACCTATCAGGCCAGTCAAGAAAGCAGCACATTTTGAGAATGGGTGAGCTGGGCCATCATACCGAGGGACTGTTGTTCCAAAAAACTCAGCTTCAGGCCTCAGCATCTCCAGAGAAAGGATCAGGCAGACAGTGATAGGAAATGACTCTGGAAGTTCTGCCATGCTTTTGCTAGCCAGAATAGGCCAAATTATTCAACTGAATGGGTAAAGCAAGCTTCCTCTGTTCTAAATGGTTCAATAGTAGAAGCATGTTAAAGAGGAATCCATATTCCTTTTCCTTCCTTACTGTATTGTTCCTCTTACAGTATGAACAGTATAAAAGCTGATTTGTATTAACATTTTCTTTGACTGAAATAATGGTTGGCGTGAGCGTGGCTGCAGTATGACTAGACAAGACGAGCGGTGCAAAAACACCAAAACAAAACCCCAAACCATTCTCATTTTTATCTGGTATCCTTTCCCTTCAGCTCACGTACGACTACCAGTTTGATTTTGAAGATGATCAGCACAAAATCCCGTGCCATTGTGGAGCCTGGAACTGCAGGAAGTGGATGAACTAGCCTGAAGAGGCTTGTCCAAGAAGGCAGGGGGGACACCCTGGCTGCCTGGCACAAATGGCGCAGGAGGCTCTGCAGAGGGAGGCTTGTTCAACCAGCTCTCCGGTCCTCCAGCGCAGTGGAGAATCTCCCAGGGAAGCATGATTGGAATCCACCATCCCAACATGCTGGTGGGGCAGCTGGGACTCACAGGCAGTGGCGATGTCAGCATATGTGCCACCGCACACCAGTCTCGGTTAAGGTATTCTGCCCAACTGGCCATTTTGGCTGTCAAGTCCAGCTGCCACCTCCTTCCAGGCAAGGCAGTCTGCCTCTCCCCAGCAGAAGGCAACAGTCACTAGCAACCCCATCTGGGGTGGGGGACTGATAAACTGGCAACTCAGGGTTTTCTTTTTAGTATTTTTCTTTTGATGCCGAAATGGGGACCCCTTCTGCCCCTGTGCACCTGTAAATAATGGACTTCAGAAATATTCTGGGAGGAGATTGGGGCATTCTTTCTAGCAGAGCTGGGGGAAGGGGACTGCAGCATGGCTATTGGATCCCCGGAGAAGAATTTGTAACTCTTTTTTTTCCTCTGTGTGTGTGCGTGTGTTTAGGAATTTTTTGTGTGCGTGTGAAAGGTTTTTTTAACCTAATATCTATTGCTTGCTAATCTACCAAGGTAACAAGAGGCTTCAAAGAAACTCATTAGCTTGACAATCCACCTTCTAGAGCCCCTGGCTCTGGATTTTGTATACTTTTAGGTGTTGGATTTGAAAAGGGGAGTATGAATGTGTGTGTATACATATTGTTTTTGGGAAAAAGTACTTTTTTCAGTGAGAGCAGGCACTGACTTGCAGAAGCTGGAAACAGATCTTCCTTTCCTCTGCCTCCCCACCTTCCCATCTTCCATGCGCGAGGAGCATCCGCACTTGAACCTACCTCATTTGAAGTGTTAGACTTTGCTGTTTTGTTTTTCTCTAATATTGAGCCCCTCGCTGTGCCACCCTTCTGCTTTTTGAGCCCTCTTCCCTGAACATGGAGACCCACAGCTGCTCTGGCACACATGGGAACAGTTTCCAGGTGGAGGTGGGAAGTGGGATTCCCCCCCTTCTCATCTCTCCCCCCCACCACCAAAAGCAAGATTGTCTTCTAGATCTCATCCACAGTGAATTGCTGCAGTGAATACCAGTTTCCCATCCACCAACGGGGCAGATCACACTGCAAGGTATGATACGGTGGTCTGAATGTGCCAACACATTGGGGGACGAAAGAGCTCTTGGTCACCAGATGCCAACCCCAGCACTTCTCTTCAGCAGAGCTTCACTTTGCCCATCTGCAAAGCAGGGAGCATGTGTTTGGTTAAAAGGCCAATGGTTAATGGCTAACTCTGAGCAGGGGGAGGGGGAGGATCAGCTGTTGGCCTAGCCCATCTCCTTAAAGTCCCAGTTCCCTCTCTGAGTCCCCATGATCAACTTGCTGCTCTGAAGGCTTGTATATGTATGTGTGTGAGAGAGAGAATGAGAGAGAGAAAGAGCTGTTGGCACATTGCAGAGGCTGGGATTATTTATCTATTTATATATATTGTATATATATTTGAACTAGCATGGGGGAAGAATGCTGTGGCTGCAGCATTGTGACGGACTGCTGAGTAGCTCTCTGCAGAAGATCCCCCTCCTCAGTGGGAAGGCAACTAGAAGGGGAGGCTTGTTTATTAACCAATCTTTGGGTGGAAAAGAGTGTGTGGGAAAGGGAGTGTGTTTATGCTTTCTCTCTCTCTCTCTGTGTATATAGATATTCTGTTTTTTCCTTTTTTTAAAGAAAACAGAATCAGTTTATAACCAGTATCTTAAGAGCCATCTGTCCAGCAGCAACTTACCCCATGTAGGGAGATTATGTATTAATAGAAGGTAAAATGTGGGCATTATAAAGGGGACTGGGATGGACGGACACACACACACACACACACACACACACACGGTCTCCCTGCTGTTCAGTGACCCTTGAGAGGACTGCTGGTACCCTTGAACCTAAGTTGGTATGGGAGTGGGGCAAGAGTTGCTGAGACTTTACTGGTAAGGCTCTCTTGACTAACTTTGTACAGTTGAGATCTGTAACGCACAATTGCACCATTTTCCTCTTTCCCGTTTAAAACGTGTACTTGTCCCCCAAACATGCCTGACAGAGTGGCGTCAAGAGATCTAGTAGGCCACAGCTCATACTCTCACCTGGTTGACACAGTGCAGAGAGAACGTGGCAACAACCTGTCTTTCCTAGCAGTGTGAGGTGGGGTTAATCAGGGTTAGCATGCAAAAATACCTTTTCTTTCTGACCTTGTCGGCAAGATGAGAACCATGTTCTTGAGTGAAAAAGCTGCTTCTGGAAACCGTTCTAAGCTATGACGGTTAAAAAACGGGGTTGGGGGGAGATGACAAATTATTAAGTAATTAAAGTTGTAAATAAGATGGCATTTGTGTAGAGAAGGGGGGAAGTTTTATCAATAACAAAACCACTGGACTTTGTTTTAAAATAAAGGTTTGAGTTAAAGCCAGTATACATTTTTTGTCTCTTTGGATTTGTTTGTGTGTCTTTCCATTAATTTGGAAGGCTGTAAAGATGTAAAAAAATAAATTTTAAAGAATTGCTACAAAGGTTTAAAAGCTTGAGAGAGATTTTAAAATAAAAAGATAAAAGTGACTGAATATAATAGATTGTCAAGATTTTTTTGGATGACGGTTAGAGTTTAAGATAATCCTGTAGATTTTAGCTGATGAAGAAAGACTATACAGTTTTTAATTTTTATATAAACTATAACCCAGTCTTGAAGCTAAAACTTTTTTAAAGTTCTCTGCCTGTATAATCGCATTTGACGCCTTGTCCCATACTTCTGTTTACAGTTGCACATATTATATATATTAAGTTTTAACCCTTTTATGAACCCAAAATAATCACTTTTTAAAAAATAAAGTGTGGACTTTGTGAGGAATTATATTTTGTGTTTTGGGGTTTTATTACTTTGTGCGTGTGATTTCTGTGTAGCAAAACTGTCCTTCGTAATGAGAGCAAAGAGCTGAAAACAAACAGAAAGATTCCTTTAAAAATAATAAAAGCAAACAAAAAACATCCTTGTACGTGGCATGTTTTGTATTGGGTACAGTTTTGAAATGTATATAACTTACCTTCAAAGATGAAAAAGAACTGGTTCCCAATTTTGCTTCTCTAAGGAGGTTTTTAAAAGAAATAAAAAAGTAACACTAAATTGCATTTAAAACATTTGAGTCCTGGTTTAAGTTTGATTTTTTTAAAAAAAAAAAAAGGTCTATGTGCGTGTGCGCATGCGTGTGATGGAACTGCCTTCTGTCATTAGCCATTTGCCAGGTTGTAGAATTGGTTCCCTTGCCAAAGAGCCTGCCTAATCAGGCCATTGAATAATCTCAGAGAGCCAACCATGACATCCTTTCTGCCTCATGTCTTAGGACTTGCAACTTCCCCATAGCATCTCTGTGCAACCTCTCCCTGTTTTTATTCTGGCACCAGTCCTAAGAGGGTGGAGCCAGATTTCTTTGTATTGCAAAGTAGCTTGCTGTGTGGCAAGACAACCCCTATAGAGAAAAAGCACTGCAAAAGTCCAGGTGCCTCGCTCAGCCCTTCACTCACTCCTTGGGTGCAAGCTGCCCCTTGTAAACAAGCAGTTGTGCCGGTCTTTGAATTTCAGCTATACAGCAGGATCTTGGGAATAGACTTCCTTCCAGGCTATTCCCAGTATTTGCTTAGAATCCAATGGTGATGGCCTGGGGAGGGCCTGAAAAGAGGAAATTAGCATTACTGCTTTGTGCAAAGCAGCCTTCTCCAACCTGATGCCCTCTAGATGTGTTGGAAAACGGGGGGAAGATGGGAGTTACAGTCCCAACACATCTGAAGGGCACCAGGTTGGCAAAGACAGATGCCCAGTTATTCCCAGCTCTCTAATACTAAGTTGATAAGATGTAGCTGGTCAATAGTCATCTGGTCATTACTAAATAGGTGCTGGAGCATAACAATCTGGATTCTTACAGGTAAAGTTCACTGTTGCAAAGAAGTTTTGTGTTAATGAAGCAGTCGCCCTTTGCCATTTTGTACAGATGATATGAAGCCAGTTGTTTCTCTGTATTGGCTTCTAATTAACCTTGAGTTCTTATTGTTCAAGTTAATGATTAATACAGCCCCAGTGGTTTGGAGCCATCTTGGTTCAGAGAATATCTTCTGTATGTGTTTCCCAGATATCAGTGATTGACTGAAACCTTACTCATTTACATTTAGGAGTCTGTCAGGCCCCATCATTACCAGATTAAGGCCCTGAAGATTTGCCTGTTTTCTCTGGTCTTCTTTAAAAACGTTCAGTGGATTGTCCTTGGGTTTCAGATTTTAGAACCCTCTGAGCTAGACGCTATTAGCAATGGGCTGTTTTTGTTGTTTTCATGCTTTACAGAATTTATGTGAGCTGCCTTAGAGGCTTTTGCCCTCAAAGGCAGCCTACAAATATTCTAAAGAAAAATAAAATAAGGTCTGTTAGTATCTTAAGCAGAGCCTTTTCAGCCACAGTTGCCCTCCACTCAGCAGCTCATCAGGCACCTCCTTTATGTAACCAAACATCAGTACCTTTTCTTTAAACTCCTGTGTTACTGTTGACAGTATTCAGCATATATAGGAAACATGTTTTTTATATAGCTTAACCTGGCTTAAAACTCAAAAGGCTTTCTCCCCACTCTTATACAGAATGTTCCCAAAAGGGACCTCTAACGCTAACACTGTAAATGGTACATGGGGGTACCCAATCTTTTTGGACTTCTGGGAAGGTTTTCTATGCCTGATTTAGTGGGAAGCTATTTAAACATTGTAATCAGTTTTGTAGCAAGTGATGCTCACACTGTAACTTGGAGCACAGTTACTATTTTGTCTGATGGCTCCAATCATTTCCTTTCAACAGGAGCTATTCACAATATTTGACTACTGAGCAATCACCTTGCATTCTAGCTGAAGTCCATTTCCACAAAATAGTGTTACATTTTTCACTCATGCCAGAGGAGTAGTAGATCAACTTTCTATGGTACTAAGCCAGTAAACATGGCAAGGGAGAAGAAACAGTTCAACTATAGAAAGCAAGCTTTTCTTCAGTTTTCTGCTACTCGGTGGTAAACTTTTCCATTAAGCCAAGTTTTATGAAGAATGTACATCAGTATTGGCAAGTGTGAGCAACATGTAAGCTTGCACTTACCATAATTTGTTTACCTTTTTACTATATTTTCATTAGTCCATGGATCTAAAATAGGCTGACAAATGATCAATGCTCAATCTCAAATGAATAAACATTGTAATTTTTTTTAGGTAGCCTATCACCTTGAAAAATTATCAGCTATGGTGCCTTCTGATAATTAGAAGCTTTAGATTAAAAAAATATTTCCTAAAGAAAGTTTGGTTGTTATGTACTGTAAATTGTCTCCAATTTATGGCAATCCTATTATTACCTCCAAAATTTCCTGTTCTAGCAAGCCTTGCTCAGCAATTGTAAACTTAGCTGCGGCTTCCTTTATGGAATCAATTCATCTCATACTTGGTTGTCCTCTTCTGCCTTCAACTTTCCCTAGCATATTATCTTCTGTAGGAGTCTTGCTGCCTCAGGATGTGTTTGAAGTATAACAGCCTCAGTTTTTTTTCTTTCTAGGCAAGTTCTGGTTTGATTTAATCCAGGAACCACTTGTTCACACTTCTGTTGGCCCCAGACTATTCTGAAAGCTCTCCTCCAGCACCGTTACAGAATTCTCAAGTGCAAGTTCTCAGTCAGCTTGTGTGTCGCAATGTCATTTATGATATATTGCTGTGCATATTAAACCATTCTTCATACAGGTACATGTGAGCATTGCATTGATCTGCTTACATTTGAAGAACCTAAAGGACTATATAGATCAGTACAAAGTGGCTAACGAGATAGCCATGAGACATGAATGGAATAGCACCCATCCATGTTTGTTCCTCAGAAACACAAAAGCTTACTGCCTCTGATAGAGGAGGTAATAGCCATTTATTTATTTCACCTAAAATGCATTGTATTTCTTAACTTGTTAGTCACTGTGTGCTCACGTCTTAGTTTTGTATATTTGTCTTTTTTAAAAAATGAAGTATTTTTTTCCAGTAAAACAGGTATCATGGGTCGTAGATTATACAGAGTGAGAAATGCCTGACATTCAAGCTGGATTTCAAAAATAAAGAGATTATACTGCAAATATCCATTGGCTACTGAAGCTCACCGAAGAATTTCAGAAGATAGTCTATCCTTAATAGACTACACCAAAGCCTTGGATTGTGTGGATCATGAGAAGCTGTGGATGATTTTGAAAGACATGGGGGTACCTCAGCACTTAATTGTCCTGAAGCATAACCTGTATCGTGAACAAGAAGCTACTGTTAGGACAGAATACAAAGGAACAGATTAGTTTCCCATAGGCAAAGGTGTTAAAGGTGCATTTTATCTTCCTATCTGTTCAATCTGTATGCAGAACATATAAGAAGAGCTGGATTAGAGTCAGAGGAAGGATTGACAATTGGTTGAAGAATCAATAATTTAAGATATGTAAATACCATACTTTGGCAGAAAGCAGCAATGAACTTCATCAGCACAAATGATGAAAGTGAAAGAAAGAGCAAACGCAGGACTGCAGCTGAATACTAAGAAAAAAATCGTGACCACAGAAGAATTATAGAACTTTACTGTTAAAACTGAAGAAATTGAAATTGTGAAAGGTCTTATGTACCTTGGCTCAGTCATCAACTCAAATGGAGACTGTAGCCAAGAAATTTTAAAAAGACTGATTTGGAAGGACAGCAACAAAAGAACTATAAAAGATCAGGAGTGAGGAAGTTTCACAGGAGACCGAGTCCCAGATCATCCAAACTATTGTATTCCTGATCACCATCTATGGATGTGAAAGCTGAACAGTGAAGAAAGTGGACAAGAAAACTGATGCTTTCAAAACATGGTGCTAGAGGAGAGATTTGCAAATACCCTAGCCCAACAGAAAGATAAACAAGTGGGTCCTAAATCAATTCAAAGTCTTACAGCTTTCCCTACAAACCAAAATGACAGAACTGAAGCTGTCATAATCCAGACATACCATGAGAAGGCAGAATGCCCTGGAAAAGACAACCAAGCTAGGGAAGGTAGAAGGCAGGCGAAAAGGAAGGCGAGAGGTAAGATGGATTGACTCCACAAAAGTAGCCACTGCTTTGAATGTATAAGAGCTGAACAAGGCTGTCATGCATAGGGCATTTGGGAGTGTTTTCATATGTGGTGTTGCTCTATGTTGGAAACAACCTCACAGCACACAGGAGCAGAGATTATGTTGAAAAGTGTCCAGTTGATTCCATGACAGTACCAGCCAGCCTATTTTAAAGGCCTATGTATGCAGAAGGAAGATTTTTGACAGATGAAAAGGGTATGGGGAGGAAAGTGTTCTTTTCCACAAGGACTGTTACCTCAGCTATTGATCTGTGTCAGATAACTAGCTAAATAAGAAAAAAATGGTGCATGATATGCCGAAGGCAGACCAGATCTCAGACTCTGAACAATTTTATCCATAAGTGAAATCTAGAACCTAGTATTGTTTTCTGCATACAATTTACGGATTTTGCATGGTCTGGTCTCCAACTTTTCAGTCATGCACTCAAAATGTATGTATCTTTTCTCAGGCTCTGATTGGGTACACAGGTGCCAAACTTATAACTCCAAACAAGTATTACTTCTTTAGAAAGAGTAAAAAATACATGACTACAGTATGTGCATTTTGAGAGAGGAGAGACCTACTTCTTGCCAACAGCAATCTTCATGGCTAATAAACTTCACCAGGATATGCAAAAAAGCCAGGTTGCATGTTCACTCTAGACAGTAATGCTGACTGCTTTTGGCCGAGAGAAAAGGGTAGTATTAGCTATTAATAATTCTACCTGTGAAAACTAGCTCACATATGTCTGCCTTTCACTTGATCTGTTGCATATCAGACTCATATATGCATCCTTTCAGATGAAAAACCAAATTATACTGACATAGCACTTTAATGTAATGAGCTTGACGACTCTGCTAGGAATGGAAGCAATTTCAACTCTACCCCAACAGTTCAAATGACTGCTTTAAGGACAGATTATCATCATCATCTTTCTGCATTGCTCAACAGGCAAAGCTCTTTGGGTGGTTTACAACAACAGTTTAACAACACAGAAGATCTATGAGTATCAATATAAATTGAATTTTAGCAATTGGCTTCTTTCAGGTTCAATCATATCTTGTCACCCAACTATGTAACACAACCAAAAGAATGTTCATGTAATCTTTAAAATCACTACTTTTCTGTAGAGTTAGTTTGTCAATTATCATGTAGGCAACTGTTAGATGTAAGCTCCCCTGCCACTCCCTTTTCTTGGGAGCCACTGAGAATATAAAAAGCAGGAAAGGAACAGAGAGGAGGCTGGCAAGAACTGCGTACACAGGGCCAGAAAGTAGGGTGGGTAGAAGTTAAAGAGAAGCAGCACAGAACACTGACAAAAGCTATAGTTTAATTTGAGTATTCCAACACTAGTGCAATCTTACATTTTTCCTTTATAACCAGGACTAGTTAAAAAATGACACAGAAGCTAACTTCCATACTGGATTCATACTTCACTAGTATGAACAAAGTTATAGTCAAAGCTGATCTATTCTTAACGAACAATGACTTAAGGAGTGCAGTAGACATATATTTGTGGAGCTCAGGAGCGTAAACCTTAGAGTTAAGGTAATCACAGAATGATAGTTCATGTTCGTAAGAGCTCTTTCAGAGGCTTTCCCACCTTGAACAAACACAAAACTCAGCAGCACAAGCTTGTTTGAAGTGGGAACTTCTAAGAACGAATGAACAAACAAACAAGGGTTTACACAGAATGGCTCCTTCTCAGAAGCTGATCCCAGTCAGAAACATCTCAAACAGAAGTCTTGCCAGAAGAGCTGAAGACTTCATGCACGTCTGAGGGCTCAGTTATCGTTTCACTCCACCAGAAGAGGTAACAGCCCAACAGTTCATTAGCCACAGGGAAAATGGTTGAAATTGCCTTCCAAGGAACAAACAGTTCAATGCTGTTCTCAGTTCTGTGAGCAACTAGAGCTATCTCCGCCCCACTCAGTCAGACATGGTTGTACAGAGCTTCAAATGGTGTGATCATGTCTTTGCCACAGGATCTTAATGCTAGGAGCGGTTTTTCTTTGGAAGAAGAAAGTCTCGGCAGTACCAAGATTCAGACTGTTTCAGTATTTGTTGATGCCAAAGATGCGGACGCCATGGAACTGCGGCAGCTTGGGCAAAAGGACGCTCAGCAAGGAGGTGGTATTGATTACAAAGTGCACAGGATCATACTTGGTATAAAAGCTGGTTAAGATATAGCTAATGGGAAAGAAAAATACCGTGTTAACTACAGATAAATACAGAAAAAGTTTTCAGTCTGTGTCAGTCAGCTTCCCCATGCCAAGGAGATTCCTCTAAATATAACAAGTTAACTTTACCTATATTTTTAATTTCTGGAAGGATTGTGGAAATGCATGGAGAGTCATCATGCTTTAATAGCTAAAAGTATTTCATTTCACCTCTTACATAGGATAAATGACACGGAGAGGGGAAAACAGCCTCCTATTATATAATAAGGCACACAAGTGGGAAGTGTGTGTAAATGCTTCCAAGCCCAGTCAGCACGCACATAAGAACAGCCTTGCTGCATCAGGCTGAAAGGTCCATCTGACTCAGCAACCTGCTTCTCAAGGAGCAGCCAGATGCCTCCACAAAGCACTGATATAAGTCCAAATGAGCTCTTTTTCCCATAGGGAAGCCTACTGCATATATGGAGAACCTTTGCAAAAGGACAGCCTGAATTCATAGCATGAATTTTGTAGCATGATAGCCTGCCCTGTGTCTGCATAGCTCTTGGATATTACAGATTTTACCCTGTATTTTTACTGTTTGTTGTATACTGTTATCTGCTTAGACAGCCCTGCAGAGCTAGCGAGTCGCATATAAATTTGAAAATGAATGAATCAATGCATGAATATCCACTTTTTGGCAGTCCTGGCACTGCATTTCTTTTTCATTAAGATGAGAACAGCTTCCATGCGAGTAGCTGATCAAGTTTAATCAGACTCATCTTAAAAGGAGTCTATTCTAGCAGCAAGTGATATTTGTACAAAATTATTCTAAAAAGCAAATTTGAAATTTAAAGCAAAACACACACACAACTATCACCTTCTCAACGAAATAAACATGAATCAATACTTGAGGAAGTAAGACAAGATTTGACCACAAATAAGAGAGGCAAGTTCTGCAATAGAAGGACTTGACCATGCATAGCCAGTGAACACTGAACAAATGCTGTTGAGATTTACTAGCTGTTGCAAAGCTAATCAAATGGATGCAAATAAATGAGCAATTTCTGGCACTTACAGCACAATTGGTGAGATGCTTAGGAACTTGCGGGAGGAGGTCCATTGTGTACCATAGTCAATCTGTTCCCAGTGTGTGAGGAGGCGATCCTTCCCCTGGTCAGGTGTCTCAAAAGGCGTTCCTTTCACTGTGTGCAGTAGCCAGTACATTGCCTGAACAGGGGAAAGAAGTGATCGTTTTCCCCCTCTTTTCTTTGGAGTACAGCAGGAAAAAATACATCAAGGCAGCCGCAACAGTTTGTTGTGCTGTGCCAATTACAACTTAGAACTCTGGAATTATTAAAATGTTCAAGGGAACAAGAGTTGCTGTGTGAGCAGAATTTTTAGTTCAAAATCTGGGATAACGTTCAAGGCATCTCTACTTGGGAAAGTGATAAACACCACCCAAAAACTACCCCAGACCAAGGCAGAATGTAGATTTCTCTACATGTAGAAGTTTTCAACTTCCCTTCCCAGCATTCCTGACCATTGGTCAATTGGGCAGGGACTTGTTATTATTACATTGCATTATATCCTGCCTCTTTTCCTTTTGTGAGGAACCCAAGGCAACTTACATAGTTCCATTTCATCCTCACAACAGCAACCTTGTGAGAGGTTAGGACAAGATAAGTGACTGGCCCAAAGTTACTCAGTGAGCTTCATGGCTGAGTGTAGATTAGAACCTGAATCTCAAAAGTCCCCAGTCCAACACTCTAACCATCACAGCATACCAGTTCTCATCATCTTATGTGTTGATCCAAATCCTCTGTAGATCTACCTTCTGCTCAACCCTGTTTTAAGAGGCTCAAAAATGAAGATTCCAAGTTAAGCAAGGATAAGAACAGAACTTCGACCTACCAGGTTATGGATGACGTTGGTCAGAGTCCAGACCACAGGGACACTGAAGAAGGGGATGCTGAGAAGAATGACATGGAGGGCAGCCACTGAGATGCAGTAGGACAGCCAAATGCCCCGGCTGTTCATCACTCGGGTGTTGGGATTCACCTCACTATGAGCTACTCCCACATTCATGCTGAAAAGAAAAACCTTGTTGGATGCACAAATATACATATTGGGAAAGTGACCAGCTGCATGCCAGAAAATATGAGAGTTCAACTCCCTGTGACGGTATCATACCACTCCTTTGCTTTCCAAAATTCCCTTTTTTCAGACTTGGCCTTTGAACTATTCTACAACCAGTATACAGGTCTCCACTCTGAACCTGACCTATCCTCAAAAACTTTTGATCTTCAATTCCAGAAAACTGAACAAAGGCAAAGCAGTCTCAGGACCATAGAATCAGTGCAAGCATCACACATCTCCTATCAAGAATGGAACTGCTAGGTTGTTGAAATGATGGAATTCTACCTAACAACAACTCCCTGTACTTTCCCCATTTTTTTCTTCCCTCAGTCAAAGCAAATCCTAGAACTCCTATTCCAATGGAGATTTACCAGCGCAGACATATGTACCAAAGAAGTTTCATTTGGACATTTTGCTCACAATCAGGAGCTGATCCTTAAACTAGGAAGAGGGAAGTGGGAGGAACTGTCCCTTACAATTTACTACCTGAAATCTGGTTAATGAATCAGGGTGCAGGATTGCTTTTTCTGGTGCCTCGCTTAAGAGATGACTCTCACTTTAATCATCTAGAACTGTGACTTAAAGCAACCATTGCCAAGGAGAACAAAGCAGACAGTAGAACAATAATTTCCTTGGCTATCTAACCAGGAAGAGCTAGGTATCCCTGGGAAGTGAAGGAACTGCAAGAATGGTGACTTTTCCATACTGAGGCTGCAGCCCAAGGTGATAACTTGAGGAAAATTCTGCAAATACAAGCCAGCAGTGGGGGCATCATTATATGTGCCCCTCCTCTTAGATAATCTAGCAGAGAAGCAGCCTGTTGCTCTTACTCCCTGCTTGTACCTGTGGTCTTGTCTCACAGTAGGAAAAGTAGTCTAGATCAGGGATGAACAGAAGATAAATCTCCAGAGATTTTGAACTTCAACACTAGAAGCTCCTGTCAGTGGTCAGGAATGTTCCAAAACATCTGGAAACATATTTTCTGCCTGCACCTGGCCCAAACAACCTTCTTTTCTTGGCTAACCCAAAAGAGGAATCCATAATCAGATTTAGATAGTATATGCTTAATAAAGGGGGAAAAATAAGAGACCAAGAGCAAAACATTTACTGAAACAGAAGACAGCTGGATTATTCCCCTTTTCTAGTCCCTCCATTTCAGGGAAGCTATCCTTCAATCAATTTGTGAATTGTGCATGCAAGAAATCCTAGGTTCAGTTCTTGGCTTCTCCAGGTATGGTTGGAACATCCCTCTGACACACTGAAGAACTGTTGGTGGCCAGTGCAAGCCACACTTCCTCAACGGGGTGTGCTCCAAGATGTGAGACTAACACTCTCATATTCCCCAAACCCGCTTGCTAGGAGGACGGGGCGGAAAGGAGGCACAGAAACCGTAGGAGGGCGCCAGGCTGATGAGGAGACAAACCCGAGCTGGCTACACCAAGGATCTGAGCGGGTAAATGACAATTTCTCGTGACAGTTTACCAACCCGTGACAGTATCTGCAGCACACCTAAGAAAGTGCGGTACTGTGGAGAGAGGGTCCACACTTGGCCGTCCTCCGACACTTGCGCCGTTCCCACCCCGAGCATCACATCGGGGCGCGAGGCAGGCACACTCCCCTCCCCGCCTCACCCCTCTCTCAATCCTTTCCTCCATCCGACGCTTAAAGGGTTCCAAAGGCCTACAGGCGTCCGTCCCCAGGGACAGCACCCAATTCCCGTTAGCCGCCTAGCCTGAGCCCACCTGGCGGCTTCCCCGACAGCGTCCTTTCCTACAGCGACAAGGCACGACGGAGAGTCGCCGCGCACAACAACGTCAACCTCGTCGACTTCCGCACGCGCTTTCCCCGTAGGCGGTTTCCAGGAAACGATCCCGCTTCTCCGGCTCCTCGCCGCCAGACAACCAATAGGCAAAGGCTTCAGCCTCTTTCCTGCCATTCTATTGGTAGTTTTGTTTGCCACTCTTAACGTCTAGGCTAGCCTCTCCGTGAGCGGAGCCAATGATAAGAGAGGATGTTAGGAGGTGCAAAGTTCAAGTGAGTGAGCTAGGATTGGGTGGGACGTCGAGGGAGCTTGTTTAGCTTGTGGGTTGCTGGGGTCGTTGAGGGAGGTGAAGATAAGATGGCGGCGGAAACTGTAGAGCTGCATAAGTTGAAGGTATTAAGGATGATCTGAGAAGCGGCGCGTTCGGTCTTCCTTGCGCTTCAGGGAGACGATGCTTTGCTTTCTTTTCCTCAGTCCAGAGCTTGGCGACGGCACCTTGTCTCCTTTGTCTGTAGCAAGAAGCTGCCTACCCTGTGCCCGTGCCCGTGCCCTTTCTGTGAAGGCGGGAAAGAGCTTCTGCAGTTCTCCTCACTTTCATTGAGGGTAGAATGCCTTCCCTTCCCCCGACTGGTCTCGAAATGCCCTCGCCCATCACTCTTCCCTCCCCAACCTCAAAGGAGGGCGGCCCTCCCGTTTCCACACTGATTATTTATTTATTCATTACTTTTAAATGAATAAAGCTAAAGGGATAAACACGTCCTAAGCATCAGTCTCGCAGGTGTCGTTATAAGAATTGCAGCTTCTTGGCGTGGTCCTGCTCCTGTGCTTTGAACAGTAAAGCACCACAGAAATTTAGTAGGCAAAGTTTTATGACAGGGAGCTGAAATGAAAGATTTACTTGCTGTACTTCTGCTTGAAAGACAGCTATGAAGCACTGCAAAAAAAGATGTTTTTATTTGTAAACTATGAATGCATGTAAGTTTGATTTATTATATGATGGGGACTTAGATAACAATTCTTTCTGTGTGTTAGATTCTACCAATCAGTTTGATATCTTAGGCCTTAAAGAACTGAACCCTAAGGTGATAAATAGATTACATACTCAAATGTGTTTGAGCAAAACCTTGACAAGATAATAACAAAAGTGCATTATTCCTACCGTGGAATTGAGTTATTGTAAGATATCCCAGTCAGCAAATGGTTCACTTCCTTCACCAATTAATGCTATTGTATTCAGAGTGAATATTTAATTTTTGGCCTTGTTTCTACTGCAGACTCCTACCAAGAGTCTCCTTTCTAGGTCATTAACTGATTGTTATAATCATCTGAGAAGACCCAATTTTCTTTATTAAACTGAACAGTATACTGGTTTAAATCCTACTTGTTACTTGTCTACTTCTTGATATTTCTTTTTCCAAATTTGTGCTTTACTAAAGCAAAATGTTTTCTATTTTACAGCTTGCTGAGCTGAAGCAAGAATGTTTAGCACGAGGCCTGGAAACAAAGGGAAACAAACAGGATCTCATCAATAGACTCCAGACCTATCTTGAGCAGCATGGTAGGTTCCTGAACTCTACCAGGTTTCTTCTAACACAATTAAGTTAATGTCCTTCAGATACTACCTGAAAACTTAACTTTTTCTTTCATATGCATTTAGTGTTGAAAAATTCCTGTCTCTGAAATTCCTGTCTACTGTTTAAGAGATGTAGTAAGAAATTACTTGATTCATCTTGGTTCATTAAGTGTTCCTCATATAAGAAGACAAGCCTATACATTAACTTCCATGAGACTTGCTTTCAGATAGTCATTTCTAAAAAGTGTTTTCCACAGTCTTAATGGTAATACATTTCTCACTAAGATGGCCTATATTTTGCTGCCCTACAAAATCTGCATTGTTGCTGCCCCGCCCTACAAGAAGCTGAGATGGTAAATACTTCAGGGCTGTGTGACAGACTTCTATTGAGATACATATAGAAGTAAACATTCTCTCTCTATGCTCTTCCATGTACATTTTATCTTTAATATTTTGAATATGAGATAGTCAAACTGTGCCACAGCTGCTGTTTGCCACACAGTCTACACACACTCTCTCTAATAAGTAATTGTTTTGAAAAGCAGAGAGGCAAGAAGGCTTATAAATGAATTATAAATTAGTAGCATATAAGCTAATTAATTAATTTTGTTTGTTAAATTATTTTTATCTTGCTCCTCGGCTATTGGAACTCCCAGAGCACCCTTAAATGCAAATAGTAGAACAAAACACAGGCTTACAATCTAAAAAGATATGATGCACAAAGAAAAAGCGAAGTTAAAAGAAGAAGAAAAATTAAGTAGCCTTTCCAATAGATTTGGTTTTTTTTCTCATCCTTTTTTTTCTAACCCTGTACAACCTGCTAGAATGGCTACTGGTAGTGACAGTTGAGAAAGGAAGAGCTTTCATGGGAGTGTTCTTTCAGCAAGGCTACTGGAATACTCTGCTTCTCATTTTATATCTGTTTATACAGCCTGTTGAAATGGTTACTAGTGGTAACAGTAGGACTTAGTTGTCATTTTCTGTTGTGTTGTCTTTTTCTGAAGAGTAGAATTAAGGATGCCATTTGAGGCAAGAAGGTATTCTTCAGAAAATAAGTTTTGTGCAAATGGAAAGAACAAATAGCAATACTGATTAGTACAAAGTGTGAACAGGCAATAAGAGATGTAAAGTATATTTGAGGAGTATATTGCTCAAAATATTAATGCCAACAAAAATAACTCTTTTATGTCAGAAGCAGGAAACCGCCAGGGAGTAGTTGCTCAGATAATGATGATGTGCTGAGGGAAGCTAAGAAATTGCTGTGAAGCTGAATACATTTTTACATCTGTCATCATTGCAGACAATATCAGGCAGTTGCTAGTGCCTGAATAGAATTTTTCAAGAGAGGAGTCTGAAGGGCAGACAAATGATGAAGTTTTTGGAGTTATCAGCAAATAAAATTAACAAACCTCCAGATCTGGAGGTGTACACCCAGGATTTCTTGGAAGAACTTAGTGAGAAATAGCTGATCTTCTAAATATATAATTGTGTGTGTGTGTTGGGGGAAGTTCAGGTGAGCATAATGTCTGTTTTGGCTAAGTTGGTGGGAAGCACCATTACAGATAAATCTCTGGCTAAAAAATACTGGTGACTGTAAGACTTTTTAAATCAAAATTTGCATAGGATTGCATCCTGAAAGAAACAAGCAAAATATACATTAAGGCATACCCACATCCCAGGGTCAAAACCTGATTTATTTTGAGTCAAAGCACAGAGCTGCCTGAGATTTGGAGGGAGCCTTAATAATGATGCAGGCAGACTGGAGAACCTACTGGAGCCCACAAATATTGTCAATTCAATAAACCTCTTGAAAACCTTATTTCTTTAACAAAAGTTGCATAAATATTAGCTTACCAATATTGCAAAGAATTGGGAATGAGAAGCAAAAACAGTCATGTTCCTCTTATTGTCAAATACAGATGGGAACTAGAAAACCACAGCAAGTTTCTTTGAATAAGAAGAATTAAGGCATCAGCTAAGGGACAAAACAGGAACTCTTTATTAAAGGGTTTGAAAAATTCTTTCTGAATTTGGCATTTGAACAAGCTGGCATGGACAGAGTACAGAGAGCTATGTTTGTAAACCTGCCAGACAGCACCAAACCTGATACCATGCTTGATCCCTTTGTAGGAACATCAGCAAAAGAGTGAGACAGGTTTGACGTCTTTAATACAATGATAAACAAATCCAGTTCTTTTGGGACTTGAGCCGAGAAACTTTGCAAAAATGGCACTCTTCCATATATTGCACAGACCTTAAAAAACAGTAATCTATTACTGCTGGGGATATCTCTTTCAAATAATAAACCAACAAGGTACAACAAATATAGTAAATATATTATGATAAGCAAAACATATTTTGGTCCTACTGAACCTCAATGCCAGGAAAGAAGTATTAGCCAAGACAAGGCTGGAGAATCTGTTCCAAGGAATGAAGGTGTAAGGCTCAGAGGGCTAGAAGACGTAAATTCATCAGAGAGCAATACAAAACTACTTGAAAATATAAATGCTAAAGTTGACAAGATATAAGGATTGTAGCTATGCTTATATGTTTTTTATTATTTTTATTTTATTAAAACATTTTTATGCCTCCCCATTCGCCGAAGCCTCGGGACGGCTTACAACAATAAACAATATGTTGAGATGCTAGGATTATTTGAACATAGCCCTTAGACTATTTCTATTAGACAATGAGGTGGTGTTTAAGAACTTTTTCAAAAAATCTGATTTGGCCCCGCACTGGGGTGGGGTGAGAGTGTCACCTGGATAATCCACAGTTCCACTGTAGCAAAGGGCCATTGAAGCCTAGGCATGAGACTCTCTGCCAAGGGCTTTCTGGGTGATGGATAAAAGTAGTAGCTGTGTGTGCGTGTGTTTTGTTTTGTTTTTTTTAGTGTGAACATTAATTCTCTTGTTTACTGGGTTTAGGGAGCTGTGTAAACCCAGATATGTTAATAGTGATCAAGCTAATAAATAAATAATAAAGGCTGAAAAATAGACAAACCTAGTAGAATATATCTGTGACAAAGATTTGTTTGCTCAATATGAGAGGTTTAAAGACAGTAGTTAAGTGAACATAAATCCAAGCTAAAAGAAGAAGATCTGAATATGAACAATTCAAGAAACTTGTAATAGAAAAATTCAAATTATTGTGAAGGGCTAGGTGATGTATATTCTGCTCCAGAGACCTATAAAAGCCAATATGGAGTACTGGCTAAGAGTGCAGGATTGGAACTCAGGAGATACGGCCTCTAATTACCACTCAGTCATGGAGTTCACTGAGTGACTATGCACTAGCCACAGACTCTCAACCCAACCTACCTCACAGGATAGTGGTTGTTGTGAGGATGAGATTGGAAGGTGGAAGAGGAGAAGAATTGTGTGAGTAGCCTTGAGTTCTTTGCCACCAGCCTCTTGACCATTATGCCCTCAAAGTGGGTATTCACCACCATGGCTAGTTATAAAACTCTGCATCCAGGGGAGGTTCCCACCCACCCCCAGGAGCAGTCATATCACTGTGTCCTTAAGGGTAGCAGGGACCACCCCCATCACAATGATGCATTCACTCCTTCCAGGAGCCATCCAGTCGAACTCCTCTGGCTAGCTTAAATCAGCCAGGGTCAGAGAGCCACTGTGGTTTAGTGGTTAAGAGTGTGGAACTGCAGCTGCATGAGCTCTGCATTTTAGTCCCCAGCCAGTCATGGAGCGTATAACTGAGTGACTTTGAGTCAGCCACAGACTCTCAACCCAACCTTCCTCATGGGGATTTTGTTGTGAGGATAAGATTGAGAGCAGGAAACCATCTTGAGTTACTTGAAAGAAAAAAAAGGAGGCTACAAATAAATAAGATGTAGTAGGCCAAACAGCATTTGCTTGCTTACAATAAGTAATTTATATAATTTATATAAAGGAGTAAAAACTATATTATTTTGCATCCAGCAGTTCCTACCTAAATATTAGACCATTAACCATTTGGAAGCCATAATACAGTCTTCCACTTGATTAAAGGACAGGTGTCAGATATACAAAATCCTAATAGCAGAAATGTAATACAGAAGGTTAGAATTGAGCATGGAAACAGGATAGGCATTACTGTAAAATTGAAGCAATGTATGCATTTCTTTACAACATTTGTATACTGCTCCACAGCTAAACAAATTACAGAAGAGTGGGTAATAAAAATGAAAAAGAATTAAAACAAAGAATGAAAAGCATATTAAAAGGTTTAAAAAACAAAAATGGAATACCAATAAAGACAGTGTTTGGTCAATCAAGGAAGACTTCTTGAAATAAATACGTTTCCAGCAGATGCCAAGACCAGCACAGTGTTTCTTCCTGCCTGACTGGCAGAGGTAGAGAGTTGAAACAAGAGAATGGAAAACATTTGAACAATAATATTTGGAAATAATTTCTGCAAAAATATGAAAAATACATGAAAACTAATACACAAGTTATTCTTAACCCCACAAGAAACATTATACATACCACTCACTTAACATACTAGAGAGTCAGCATATGGCAACTGTGGAAGAGGTGAACTCCATGCTAGAGTTCATTAGGTACAGTATTACAAATAAAATTGATTGTAATGCTTCTGTACAGATATATAGTGTGACCACACTTGGAATACTCTGTACAGTCCTTAGGATAACTAACTTAGGATAGTTTACAGCTGGAGATAGTGCAGACTAGAATAACCAAAGCACTGGATCAGCTCACTTATGAGGAAAGGTTACACTGTCTCAAGTTATTTAATTTAGACAAAAAGTAACTATGAGGAACATACTAGAAATATAAAATTATGTATGCTATGGAAGAATGGATAGCAGTTTTCTTCCTCCTTTGGGGTGAGTGATGGGGGAGAGTCACCTGTCTGTTGTAATGGGGTGAATATACTACAGCAGAATATCCAGTGACAGGTTTTAAGAGTCACTGGGTTTGCTCTGGGTACCATAAAGTTATGGATCACTTCCTTCAATTTTTTGTTCCTTTCTTTCCTGACATTTCCCCTTATAGCAGCACATCCTCTCTATCACCACAATGTGCAATCTAACATAGGCAGTTTCCATGGAATGTGGCATCAGGCTATTTCTCCTCATTGTGGGAGAAGCAGGAGAAGCCTAACCTAGGTGGAGACAAACATGAAGTACAGATTATAGCAGCACATGCACACCTATGTCCCCTATGTCTTGCTGTCTGCATCACAGACAAACTCTCTGTTTCTTCAGTGAGTTCACTGTAAATCACTTTTAAGTGGATGTTCTTAGAGTTCTAGCTTGAAATGTAATAGCTGGTTTTTGAGAGGTATATGCAGTGTTTCCAAGTATTCAAGTACCATAGAGTCGAAAGAAAGTGGTATAACTAGGTTAAAGCTAGTTCATTTGTTAGCAGACTGCCAGGAATACAGAAACACAAGTGCTTATGAGTCCATTTCCAATGCTGTGTTCAGGGAGAGGACTCACTTGTGAGTTGGAGTGCAGTGCTGACTTGAAATCCCTGTTTAATGCCAACCTGAAACCCTTGTCATGGATCTTTCCTCAGCACATAGCTGCTGCTACCTGCTGACAGAAGGAGCCCGTGTTTGACATACATAACCAGCATCCAACTGTGCTTACCTGTGTGAGACTTCTGTCAGTTTGGAATTTTGTTTCTGATGGGTGCTTGTGTCCAAAGTCCTGACAATGGAATATTTTAAAAAAGGGATACATTTTTCTAAACCAATTTCTAAACGGAAAGGACCCGATTTCTGACATTTGTGATGCTCTGTTCTTGGCTTGGAGTGGCAGTGGGGATTGTTTGTGCCAGTGTTGCCCTTGATGCTAGTGTCCATCTCACATATTGACCACCACTACTACTTTTTTCTCCTTGTTTTGTTTACATGTGATATTTCAGGAGCCAAGTGTTGTGGCCTTTTCTGGTACATGCTGTAACACACATTTTCTCTGCTGCAGCTTGTGTCTTATCTCCCCACGTTACTAAACCGTGAATGGATGTTGATTGAGCATGTAATCCTATGCACATGCTCAATGCATTTGTTAGGGTAGGAGAGAAACAACTTTTCATTGGGTGAATAATTGTGACTTTCTTTGAACCCTTGGCTATTCTGAAAGAGAGCATTAGAGGAGCGATAATACAGAAAACTATATTACTCTGGCAATTTATTTTCATCCATATTTTGTGGCACACTAAAATAGCAGTTTGGAATTATGAAATGCATCAAAATAGCAGCTGTTAGGCTGTGGTTTGGTTCATATAGAATACCAACTGATGGTGCAGGCTTGTATGCTCTCATTCACTCCCTGATTATTTATCACAAACCACATTATTTTCACATGAGCAAATTGGTTTGTGCTTGTTCTCTTAATCAAAATTAGAAATATTCAAGCCTACTAGCAAATTAGAATGTGACAGAAAGCAATAATTTGAGCTAAACAAGTAATAGAGGAAAGTGGAGAACATGAGAGAGGAAGAATGCTTAGTTATGAACAAGTGAAAGGAATTTTTGTAAGTTTGATGATAACAAGATGTGTTTAGCATGTTGCACTTTTAGCATGTTAATCTGTATATAAGTAGATACTATAGTATAGTTCACTATATTGTGTTCACTTTGATGTGATTTGGATTATTCTATAAGAGCATGATATGCTAAAATAGAAGATTCTGGTATTAAATGAAGACTTCCAGCATTCTAACAAGTAGGATTGTAATGACCCAGCATATCAAATATATATGAATTAGTAAATCTTTCTATTTTCTTCTGATCATTTTAGCTGAGGAGGAGGCAAATGAAGAGGATGTCTTGGGAGAAGAAACAGAGGTAAATTATCTTATTGTATAAAATAGTTATTCCTGTGCTTCATGTTACCCATGTTGTGCTGCATTCTGATCTTGGTTGTTCTCTATTTCTTTCATTTTTGTTAGAAGAATGCACACGGAGAAAAACCCATAGGTCACAGAATCCCCAACCTATGGACACATTAGAAATTTTGAGGAAGTGTCTATTAGAAACAGAAAATTTTTGCTGTGAGGCAGGGACAGCCACAGAAATCTTATAGATGATGTGTGGATTGTGCTTGGGCCCCACCTCTGTGTAGAAAGGGGTGCTGCAAGGATTACTAAGATACTGAATGCTTAAGATATGCTTTGTATTGTGATGCATGTTATAGCATGTATTCCAATGCTTATGTAATATCCAACATTTATGATGAATATTGCTTACAGAAAGTTTATGCAAAAATGTGTTATCCTTCAAGACTTTTGGACCTCTTTTTAGTGCCTGCTATCATGAGCATATCCCTCTCCTTTCAAACTAGAATCTTAGAAGCACAATTCTTTGTTGAAACTTGTCTGGTCACAAAATACTATAAAGCAAAGAAACTTTTTACTGGATTGGTGTGATAAGCATCTGCCCATGTAAAGAGCAGAACCAGACTGAAAACTTTCCCTTTGTCCCTCCCTTTCAATAAAGTTTCTGGTTTCACCCTCAGGGTGGCTTTTGTTGTTTGAGGGATAGATGGCAGGAGTACAGGAGACCTTGTAATTGTGCGGCATGCTTCTCCTGCCACTGCATGCTTATGTCAAGGATTGGGTCTTGCATCTACTCCCACTTCCACCCTGAAAACCCTTCCAAAGCAGGCATATTCTCAGCCTCTGCCTGAGAAACTTCACTAGGTTAGGTAACTTTGAATCAATTAATCCCCCCCCCCCACTCTTCCGCCTCCTCAGAATCAGATGAATTTATCTAAGCAGTCTGTAGTGAGTGAAAAATAAGCCCCCTGTCTACAACCTCCTGGCACATTCCCTCCTCATTTCCAGGATTAGTTACCCACTTCAATGCTGTGGGAGGCAAGGGATGCAGACATTTCATAACTCGGAGTTGGAAGAGTAGGTTTGCAACTTTGTGTGTGAAAAACCTCACCCCACACTCATAGTCTATGTGTAAACATACTTTTTTCTGAACAAAATACCTGAGTATCTTATATTTAATTGTCTCCCAATTCAACCTTAAACAGAGGTTATGGGGAAGGTGGGAAAAGGAGGAAAAGTGGAGGGAGTGAGCAGGAAGGAAGAAAAGGTAGGGATCAGTCTTCCTTAATACAAACATAATGATGTCATCTTCTTTTATGATTTACTACATTTTTATACCATCTGAGCCTAAGCTCCCTGGGTAGTACACAATAGGATATAAATGCGGTGCAATGCAATGCAATGCAATAACCGCATTTAAAAATTTTTTAAAAAAAATAATTAAAATAACATTAGAATACATTAAAGATACAATAAAATACAATAAAAAGACCAAGCCAGGAAGAAACAAAAAAGGCAGCGGGATAAAACCCATCAGGCTCCTGGATGATCAGGGAGATTTTAAGGCCTCCACAAAGAGGGCTGCCTTAACCTGGTGGCAAAAAGATGGCAAATTTGATGCTAGCAAGGCCTCAGCAGGGCAGCTGTTCCAAACATAAGGCGCCACCACAGAAAAGGCCCTCCCTTTAGTTGCTACCCTCTGAGCCTCTTGAGGGGTTGGCACCTGCAGGAGGGCCCCAGAGGTTGAGCATAGTGTCCTGGTAGATCAGGGTTGGGAGAGGCACTCCAAAAGGTGTTATAGTCCCAAGCCACGTAGGACTTTATAGGTTAAAACCAGCACATTGAATTGGGCTCAGAAGCATGCAGGCAGCCAGTGTAGGTGGGCCAGAAGAAGTCTTATATGTTCAGACATCTGAGTCCCAGTTATTAATCTGGTTGCTGCATTCTCTGCCAGCTGCAACTTCTGAACCATCTTCAAGGGCAGTAATCCAATCTAGGGATTATAAATAGAGATTATCAGAGCATAGATTACTGAAACCAGGCTATCTTTGCCTAGATAGGAGTGCAGCTGGGTCACCAGCCGCAGCTGGTAGAAGGCGCTGTGAGCCACTAATGCCATCTGAGCCTCAAGGTTTGAACACCCTTCATCCAGCCACCTACCAACAGCATCTCAGGCTTGTCTGGATTGAATTTCAGTTTGTTCACCCTGATTCAGTCCATTATCATAGCCAGACACCAGTTTAAGATATCCGCAACCTGCTGATAATGCTTTTCCATGCTTGCTTCTCAAGTGTCACATGTTCTCCTCATTGCTTCAGTGCTCTCTCTTCTTCTACCAGCATGGCTACTAGCTTGCACTTGTTGCATATATAGGGTGTGTTGACCTCAGGCAAAAAAACAAACAAGTTACCACCACTAGGAAGTCTTCTTGGTCCATAGTCTCCTTTTTTAATCTTCCTTGCTGTGCATGTTGCTACAGCCTATGCTTTCTTCCTTCTTCCCTGAAGGTTAACAATGAAATCCCCTTTGCCCTCTGCTTTTGCCATTGCAATGGAAGAGGTGGCTTTGCCTTTGCCTCCTCTTCCACTGCAGCTCTGCTGCTGGCTCTCCCTGTATGCTGGCTCTTCCTGGTGAGTCCCTCACCAACTGGGGCAGGTTCCTCTGCTTGGCTCAGCTTGGAGTCAGGAATCAGAATGAATTTCCCCACCCACACAGTCACTGAGAGTAATCAGGCCGCTCCTCTTCAATTGCAGCTCCCAGGTGGACAAGGTAAGCACATGGTCACTTGGAAGAGAGGTCCTGGGCTACTCCAGGCCATTCACCCCTTATCTCCTGTCTTTGTCATCTCTTCCACTACAGTTTTGTTGCCAAACTCATTTTAGATCTCCCTGTTCTCTCACTCTCTGTGAGCTTGATTGCTTGCACAGAAATTCTTTAGACCTGCTTGAGGCAGCTTCCTCTACTCTGCTCAGCTACTAGTCAGGAACCAGAATGTATGAGGGGTCTTTAAAAACTTTCTGCACTTCTATATTTTCTCCCTCCCTCACACACACACACACACACACACACACACAATATGTATTTTTTGCTGATGGCATTTAAAAAATGGTATGATGCTGGGGAAAATGCATCGTAAAGGAAGGTGACTATGTAGAAAAGTGATGTAATTTGTTTTTGGAATTATTAATAAATAGAATTTTAAAAAGTGTGGAAACTTTTTGAAGACTCCTTGTAGTTGCTGCCTTTGGCAGGACAGTTCTTTCAATGGTTTTGGAGAGAAATCTCTCTTCTGGTAAATTTCTTGCTTTTTACATACCTATAGGCGTGATTCACGGCAACCATGAACAAGAGAGTATGTGTATCTATAATGTGGTTCTTCAAGTGGTCCCCTGTGAGTTCAGTCAACCCAACCTCTTCCTTATTTCAATGCCTTGCTCTCAATGTTATTTCTGTGCTACAATGAACTTGGAATTGAAATTTAGGTTGGAGCCACACCTGGAGTATGTGCAGGACCCCCTTCTAAACTTAGTTCTGTTCTAGAATGTTTTTAATAATTCTTTTGCGCAGATGCATAAACCATGTATGAATTCACATATAAGCACTCAAAGAACTGCAATTGCAAGGAAGCATGCTGTCCTGTCTATGACATACAATTTAAGCACTGCCAAAATCTTGCACAATCACCCTTTCAGCTCTGTATTTCTAGGGCTGTGATTCTATACACACTTATATGGGAATAAGTCCAATTGAATCCAAGGGGATATACTTCTGAATAGATCTAGGTGTAAGGTTGTGCTGCAAATGTTACGTGCTTTGTTATTTTCTCAAACTATAATGTTGGAATTGTGGTTAAATTTAAATTGTGCACTTTTTAGACAATCAGTATTACTTGACTGGAAAATTCTTGGCTGAAAGAAAAAAATAGAGTGAATTGGGTCATGGTGGGTCATGTAAAAATGAGGACTTCTGAACTCTGGATTTGCACTTCATAAATGGCTTTATGTTTTCCTGATACTATCAAAATAGCCAAGAATTTCATTGTCCTGTTCATTGCTGCTATGTCCTTGTGTCACTGAAGATGCACACTCTGAAATTATTCTACATTTCTTTCATACTTGAAAAGATTTGTTCAGCATTCTGTATATTCTTACAAAAACTAAAGTCAGCTCACAAATAGTTGGAAAGAAAATTTGTTTTTTCAAATATTTGGAAATTTATGTGACTGTAGGGATAAACAGACTGAGTATCATATTTCTGAATAGTATTTTTCATTTCTAGAATATGAAGTGATGGTGGAATTTGTAGATCATTAATCATATTCCATTTGCACAAAAATTCTAATCATTCCAATAATCAGATGTTTGCATAAACATAACTGCTGTTCACAAGTGAATAACTGGGAATCTGGTTGCCTGACGTACATTGCTGCTTAAAAATATTAGTGATTTATATTAGTGCAGTAAATAAATGTAATGGAGAAAAACTGATGGTATGTGACCATAAATGTTACTAATATAGTTTGAGTTGCTGCTAAAAATTCACACATCTCATTCCAGATGGAACTATTAAGATGCAGTCCTGTACCTTTCAAACTCAGAAAGTTATGGACATCCAATTGAGCTTGTCAACTTTGGCCATCTAAATGTTTTACTGCTCCTCACAAGGAGGAAGGCCTGAGACACCACCTGGCTTTGGTGGAAGCTGACAATGCCTTGTCCCTCTGCTCCCCACCCTCTGTGCCTGTCCTGAAGATGGGCTTCCATCTGGAGACAGAGTTCCTGCTGTAATCTTGGAAGGTTTTCTTAGTTTGCCACAGGGATCCTACTTGTTCCTATGGCCAGCCAGTTAGTGTCTCCAGGTGATAGAATTGTGTCCTTCAAGGCCTATGACTAATTAAACAAATACATTTAATTATACATGTAGCCTTCTATGTCAGAAGGGTAACCCTCTATTATTGGAATAGACTATTGTTATATGTATAACCTTGTATGATCAGAAAGCACTCTTAACAACAATATAAAGAGATTGGGAAAATGATCACCTAAAAGAGTTATTAATTGTTTGTTATCTTACAGATTAGATATCTGTACTATAAACAAAAATATAAACATTAAAATGTACTGCAAATTGTATCCTTGAAGAAATCGACTTCTGTAACCCATATTAATTATGCGCATTAAGAAAACTGTCATGTTAATCAAATTTCTATATTCTATTGTACTTCTGATAGTCCTCAGAAGAAGTAAGGCATTACATAGGACACTGAATCTTGCTCAGTCCTATGTCATTCCCTTTTCCCATATGTTCTGATTTCACTATATATTCCCTCCTTTATCACCTCTTCATTGCTAGAGAAATGTAAGCGTGGGAGATGAAATGGTTTGTCCATTGGCTTTGGACAGGCTTTGTTCCTTGCAAAAGTACTGCAATCCTGGGTGCCATGTACTGCATTTCTCTTACCTTTAATGTTAGCAGCAGCAACCTGCCCTGCCCAGTTCCAACCTGTCTGATTCTTTGGGGTTCTTGGAAGCCTCATTTATCACATTTTAGGGCAAAGTCAGTTGCAGCAAAGACTACTTGAGAACATATTTTGGATAATGGTCCAACTAAAATATCAAACCAATTGTTGACATTTCTGTATTAAGACTGACTTTTTCTAATTGGCATAAAAACTTGAAACAACAAAATGCAAACTGTTATCCATCATCTAGGAATACCCGGAGCCCAAAATGTTGGACAGTTTTTAAGATTCTGCCTTGTTGGTTTATAAAAGTAGAAGGAACCATGGTCAAATTTTGTATATTGGTCTGACTCTGTCAGTAAACAAGAATAAAGTTATTCTAACTGCAGAGGACAATGCATTCAATGAATTTTAACTGCCACTACATGAAAAGAATTTTATATAATTTGAAAACCAACTCACAATCTCATTTACCAAGGGTGCATGCCTATGTGTATTTGAATAGGAAAAAAATTGGACAACTTTAAATCTAGTCATGCATCACATTGTATTGTAAGAGATGCAGTCTACTAAGTTTTCTGTTTGGTGGGTTAGTGTAATGAGATAAAGCCTCTACTCTAAGATTAAATTTCTTCTTGGTCTACTAGAATCCTTATTGTTTATTTGTAAAATAATTTATGAAGTACAGGGCTAAAGAAAAAGATCACCTTTCTCAGATGTGTACATAAATAAAATACTAGTATGTAAGTTACTCTTTGAACTGATTTTTAAAATGCTCGTAAATATTAATATTTGTCCATAAGCCATAAGCACCACATCTCTGCAAAGCTGAAATGTGGTGCTTGCTTAATTTCTACAGTACTCAATGGAATGTCCTTTTAATAAGGCTTGTGTAGGATCAGGTTGAAGTTATATATGGTAATCCACATCAGTATTTTTGTGAGTTTTATATTCTTTTCTGGAGGCCTAATCACTCCTTTTGATTGTTTGCATTGCAGGAAGAAGAACCGAAACCTATAGATACTCCTATCAAAGAGGAAATCACTACTGAGAAATCAGCTGAAGTGTAATTATCTCCTTCATAGAGCAGAACATGTTTTTGGTCAAACATTGATGTGTTTGTATATCTTTCGTTTTGTGTGCCATCTGTCCATTGAAACTCTAGCCCGGTGGTTCCCAAGCTTGTTCTACAGAACCCTAGGATTCAGCAAAAGCCTCATAGGGGTTTTGCAAAGTAGCACAAAAATCAAATTTAAAACAGAATTTAAAATGAAACCACACAAGGCCAACTATTTCATTGTCAGTTGGCATCCAAGGAGCAAACAAGGAAATGCATCACATCATTTGGTTCCTAGGACTCTACTGCATAGTGCTGGAAATAATCAAAATAATTCATTTGGGGCATTACCATATAATCACTTTATTCATTTGATATTTCAAATGTGTTCTCTTTATTTCTGAACCTACTATGTTATGCAAAGCACGCAGGCAGTAGGAGCAGATGAAAGAAGAAATAATGGAAACAATGTCTTCAGAAAGGTTCCATGACAGAAAAAGTTTGGGAACTGCTGTTCTAGCCATCTATGAAGTTGTCCTTAACCACCTATATTGAAGTACACAAACTGAATATATAGAAGAATGATTGGAGTAGAAATTAGGAAATACTTTGGCCTTTTGAAAATACCAAAAGGCTAGAAATAAATAAACTGGAAAAGAATTAATGTAAAGTATTTATTTGTTTAGGATTGCTTATTTATTTGTTTAGGATTGCTAGGTTTTAATGTTTGTAAACCACCCAGAGAGCCCTCTGGGCTACTAAGGTGGTGTATAAATGCAAATAATAAATAAATAAATTTGCAAAATTGATTCTTTCACACAGTCAAACTTCTGTGTCTTTTTGCAGAGATAACTATTTATTTATTATATTTATATGCCTCATCCTTAGCCAAAAGGCTCTCTGGGTGACTTACAATAGATAGCACAACTGTAGGTTGTGTAGGTTATAATACTTAGAGCAAATTTACAAATGTATCTACTGCATATTATAATCCAGCTTGAAAACCTTTAAAGATGCATGTAAAAATCAGCATTCAACATTCTTAAGAGTAACTGAAATCTTGCACCAGATAAAGCTGAATTGTGTAACCTGGAAAAATTTACTATTAATTTTAGTATCCCTTTTTAATCTTTGGTAGGCATGATATTGCCCCTTGTTCCCATCCAAAGTATATTGTCTTTCTCTGTGTATACTTTAAGCGGGGAATCTTGCATTAGTTCTAGTAAGCCTTCATAGGTGTAAGAAAGACTGTTAGAGCCACCCCAGTGTTAACAAAGACAAAGTAAAGATACACAGTTTAGCTTGCTCATTCTCATTCCACATCAAGGAACAGGCAAGTTGTAAAAAAGAATAGGGCCACCTGTGTCAACGGCATGCTTTTAAGACTAAAAGAGAGAAGCAAATTGCCCATTTGTCCCTAGTGCCATTCGTCAAATGAACGACTGAATCAACTGAAGGCATCCACAGCCTACTGCTGACCCAGTCAAACAGGCATACACACAAACTGCACTAGTAACAGAGGTCAAGGAAGGTGAGCAAGCACCTCTAGCAAGTATCCTGAATCTTTGAAGGGTTTGCCTCATTTTTTGATATAATGCTTTTGAAATACATAGAGCAGTCCTGGGTGTTTTTCTGAACAGTTTCTATATACTTTCTTCTCCAGGTGCTTTTGTCTTTTTTATCAGATTGCAACAATTAACAGGAGATTCCTTGATGCAGAAATGGCCTGGGTATCAAATCATATATTGATAGTGATTTAAAATACCAATTTAAAATATTGATTTAAAAATCCACCAGTTGGGTGGGTTGGTTGGTTGGTTGGTCTGGACTATTTTTACCACACTTTTCAAGCCAGGAGTGTCTCAAACCTGCTATAAGGAATGGGTAAGAAAAGAATACGTTAAGAAAGCAAAAATCTTTGCAATTGAAGGGTTGGTTATATTATAACAAATCACTAGAATGTAAGTAGAATTAAAAATTCAATAATCCAATCTGTATTTAGGTTACTGTCTGGCTATGACTAACACTTCCAGCAACGGAAATTTGGTAAATAATAATTACCTCCATCAGCTGGCAAAACAGAGTTGCACAGAAGCCAGGATAATTATTCTAGGAACACAGATGTTGGTACAATAATTGTATGCCAGAGTGTCATGCTCTGTCTTATGAATACCTTATGCCTTCTTCAAATTTGACCTCTTCAAATTTTTTACCTATTGCTGCAGATAAGTAGTATAAAGTTCCATTGTTTTCTTAGCTAAGTGTACAAAGCCCAGCTGCTCTTCCAGTTTAGGTGCACTTGTGGGTATTAGTAGAATCTGAATCCTTAAACAGCAGAAGTTTGGTGAATTCATTTATAGTGCCTTTTACGTTAGAGAAACTGAATTTAAGTGTGCACTGATCTTGTCACTTTCCAAAAATGGCCAGCAATTTAGTAACTTAGAAACATGTCAGTGGCACTTGCAAATATCTTATTCTGTTAATGGGAGGAGCATAGCTTTAGGGCAGATGGAGGGAACCTGTTTCAGTCTGAGGGTTCAAATCCAATTTGGAGAAATTATTCCTGTGGTGGATGGGACCAAAGACAAAAAGAGCAGTGCCAAAGAACAACAAGGACATTTTAGAATACAGGCAGGCTGGGGAGATCATGCAAAAGTGGAAAAATACTAAATGGTATGTGGGCAGAGGGCCCAGGAAAAAAGAACATGTCCATCTCAGCTTGGGCCTGCTTTGGGATCTCAGAGGAACCTGCTATAGAGGAATCAATTCTTATTTTAATTTATGGCTGAATTCACAGTGTAGTACAATGAAATTATACTTTCTTTGTCATTGCTCTGCTTGTCTGTGCAGATGGAGGTGAAAGCTGTTGAATCAGAATTAGGGTCCTGAGTCATCAACCCCTTAAATGATTACTATTTAACCATTTATGATTGCATTTAAACAAGACAGGTGCTGGGTTTTTTTTTTCAAAAGTTGATTGGGAGTTTTGATGTGATTGCCAGTAGTTACAAAGTGTGTTTATGCAATTCTTGATCTACAAAAAGCATTACATTTGACTAAAATCTATTCATATTGGCTGAATCTGGAGTTTAGGGGCCAAGATTATGTGAATTTCAGTGCAGTGTCTGCTCCTGGACAGCAGGGGGTGCCCTTTCTTCACATCGCAAACAGAAAACTGCAACACTGCTGCAGGGGTAACAAGTCCCTGGTTCCTGTTTTGAATTGCTTCCTGTGAAAAAGTCATTAAACCATTACTACCTTTCAGGGCATAACATGGGAAAACTGTCCAGGAATCTTGAACAAAAGCTGTCCATTTCTCTAAATGGGAGACCTTAATGAGTCAGGCTATGACCCACTGTTTTATGGGAGCTGTTTGGAGGAGAGGGTACTGTTTCATTTAGCCTGGGAACTTCCGAACTTTGTATCTTCCTCTTTTGTTTTCTCTTGCAAACTTCAACCCTGTTTTCAGAGCATAAACTTCCAAGCACGCCCACTCCATTATATTTTTGTTTTGAGCTGTTTACTGGCTCCCATTGCACATTGTTTAAGAAGTGTGTGTTTGAAATGCATTTAGAGCTGACCTGGCCAAAAGTCAACCATAGCTGTCCCATGAACTACAACAGAAGAACCCCTTTGTGAATATATGGCCATAAAATAATAAAGATTCTCAGGGCACATAGCATGGGCATCGGGCTTCTGGCTGAGTTTTGACTGTTCAATATAAACCATATTTTCCCTCAGTTGCACTGTGTGAATGACTACATGCTAAACAGAACCTCATTTATCTTGCTGGTATAGAAGGCATCCAAATATTTGAATAATCAAAAGTTCAGATAAAGAGTCCAGTTTACATTGACGTGGGAGAGTGAATTTGGAAAGCAGTAAGCAGTTGGCGTATTCTAATACGTCTTCATCAGTAATGTGCATACTTTGCAAATGCCCTGGTTTTTCCCATGCTTTTGAGTTGAATGACTTCTCTTTTACTCAGAGTTGAAGATAATTTTAGTCCTTTCAAGGCTGTACAGATAGTTGGGAATTTGACAGAGACTACAATTAAAAAGTTGTAACCATAGAAAGAATCAAGAGAGTGACGGCCAAGTTCCTTGTTCAACCCTTTGATCACACATCATGCTAGGGCTAATCTAGAACCCATTAGTTGGTCAGCATACCTTTTTAAAAACACTTTTTGTTCAATCGTTTTTCCTGTGTCCCAGGTTCTTTTTGTCTCAGAGGCCCGTGCATAGATATATTGATTCATGGAGTTCATTGTTAGCATTTGGTTTGTTCAGATTCGGCATGTTTCATTACCTTTTCTTATCTTTTTCTGGGTGAAGAATCTACTTTATAAAAAATCTTGATGCATTCAAAACACATTCAAATTAAAGGCAACTAAGTGGTTGTTCAGGCTGTTGGAATGACAGTTTGCCTTGCCCTTAATCACATGTGAATTCCATTTAGTGACTTCTTTTTTTACACCATGTTAACACCTAAATATTTTAAAAATATTTCCTAACCTTTCCATACTGCTATCAGGTAATCTTCCAGAAAATGGTCATGCATATATTTTACATTTTTCACTGTATTTTTATCCTTTGTTGCTTGCTCTTGGTTTATCATCTTCCAAAGCACGGTTTCCTTTTCTTGTCAAATTCCTGTTGAAAGTATTCTTTCTTTTCATTGGTGTTTGTGTATGCTTTACTTTTCTTATTAATGCATCAGTTCTTCTTCTATTCTCTATTGAAATTACTTTTGCAGTTTTTGCCAATTTAATTTCCTACTAAATCCCTGGGCTTATTTGAAAGAAAGTGCTTTTTATAACTCTGTCTCCAGGACAACTTGGATTTCATATCCATTTATCTCATTTTTTCAATTTTCTAGTATTTTTGCTATGTTTATGTTATGACGATACATTGAAATACATGCAACAGCAGCATATCACATTTAAGTCCCGCCTTTCTTCATTTTAAGAGGAACCTAAGGCACCTTCCAAGGCTCCCCTCTCCTCCATTTTATCATTACAACAACAACCCTGTGAGGAAGGTTAGGTTTGAGAATCTGTGACTGCCCCAAAGTCACATGAACTTTATGGCTAACTAGAGACTTAGAACCCAGATCTCCTAAGTCCTGGTCCACCTCTTAACCGCTACATCACACTGGCTCTAACATTTGTTTAGTCTGGTTTCTCCAACATTTCCTTGAATTATTCAGTTATCTCTTCCTAATTCTTAAAGAAATGTAATTGTCATTGAAGTGCAACCTTACCCAGTATTTAGGATCCTATTCCTATTCTTCAAAAGAGAGTAACTGATGGGCATTGGATGCTGTGGTCCATAATAGAGGCTCCTGTGTTGTGGCAGCAAAATATCACAGTCATTACAGTTTTGGTGGTGTTGGGACAGTGATGAGGTACCCTGGAAACATTTGCCTTTCAAGAGCAGGGCCATTCTGGCCTGCAATTCCCATGAGGCTCCAGTATTGAAAATAGTAGCTAGGACAGCTGAAAACACCTGAAGGGCCACAAGTTGCCCACTCCTGCTCAAGAGCAACAAGAAAGAAACAATCCTTACTTGGATATAGATTGAGAGTTAACATGGTATAGTTGTTTATAGTATTAGATAAGGACTCAAGGCATCTGAATTCTATTCCACATTTATCCATGAAGCTCATTGGGTGACTTTGGGCCAATTGCTGGCTCATAGACTAGCCTAGACTAGAGTAGTTATTGTGGGGATAAAATGGAAAGGAGGAGAACCTTACAAGCTACCTTGGGTTCCTTGCAAGGGGAAGAAAAACGTATACAGATGGGAGGTGGTGGTGGTGATTATGATTGGACATGGATTCTCCATGCAAGTTTCTCTTTGAAGGTGGAGACCACTCTAGTGTTCATACCTTTGTAGTGTTTGTGCAACTATTTAGCATGTATATACTGTTTACTGTTCATTGTTAAAAACTGGCATCTATCTTGAACAGGAAAGGCAAGCTTATTTGTGTTCTAATTACTCTATTTTTCCTTTCTTTAGAGGTGCAGAAAAGAAAGTGGTGAAAATTACATCAGAAATGCCACAAATGGAAGTAAGCTGCTCTTTTGTTGTAATTCCTCTACCTTTGGGTTTAACCAGCAGGAAACTGTTCTGCCAAAACCATAATTTTAGTTTATGCAGCTGACTCTTTTATTGTATATTTGACTGTTTTTTTCCATTTCTACCTTGCTGCTGGCCCTGCATTATTAGGTTGCTGCTATTTATGGCCTCTTTCAGATGTAATAAGAAACCATTCAGCTATATGAATGAACGGCACTGAATTTCATGCTCAGATACTCCTCTTTTGTGTTCAATAGGAGATGGCAAGCTTTCATTTCACATTGTAAGCAAACTATGTTTCACCATGACCTCTAAACTCAGAAAACTGGTTTACTGAAACAATTGTTTCAGAACAGTTCATTATCTGAAAACATGGTTTGATCTTGGCTTGTTCTCATTAATCATAGTTCTAACCAACTGAAATTCCCAGTGTAGAGACATCATGGGGAACTGTAATTTACCAGTTTTTCAGAAGTGAAATTCTATGTTTAATTTGGATGCAAGTGCTGTAGACTGGATTGGGTCACATGATCTGCTGCTGTAGTCTCTGTTAACTTTGTCTATTTGAACACAAGACAGGTTTGTACTGCTGTTGCAGTTTGTAGATGAATGTGGCCTCTGCTGTCTTCTGGTTACCACTGACAAGAAAGGTCACTATGTTAGCATGAGAAAACTTTGCAACATGAAACAAATATGCTGAGCCTCTGTTTTTTCTCTTTGGATTGTTCGCTTAGTTCTGTAGCAGTGTTTCTACACTTGCCAAAGGAACTGCTTGGAATGTTAAAGGAGAAATTGATATGCCCATGGTTCTGTATAGAGTAAAAGTACTTTGGGGGAACTTGGCACAATATTTCTCTCTGACAGTTGCTTTGCTTCCTTTATTTTCATCACTTTGCACTGCACTCGCCATAACAAGGGAAGCTGATATGAAAACACAGTCTTTCTCCCTGCTGTTAAACTGCCACCTCCAAGATCTAATCTTTTTGTAAGCTGACAACAGCTATTGATGGCTGCTGTCGCAAATCATGAATTATTACTTCAGTGGAGCAAAGAACCAGAAACAGTAAATAGAAAATTATCTGAAATGGTGCTGAAAGAGTGACGTCTTCTAAACTTTGTGGGAAGCCTTCATCAAGGGGCCATTAAATTAAATTATTTTACTTACGTCCATTGCTCTTGGTTCTCAATTCTGCAATGCCCCATACGAAATTTCCTTGACACTTTACAGATCTTTTTAGCCAGAGTGTAGTAATTCTGGATTTAATTGACCTATGAAGGTTCCTCAGGTATGATGATATTCTCAGAATTCCAGGATTTCTTTTCAGCACTATCATTGAGGTTGCTATACTTGAACAGCCTCAGAGTTAATGGGAGCTGATACTAGGTAACCTCTTAAGGTCAAACCTGCCTACAGGAAACCAGATTTGGTTCCTACAGGAAGAAAACTTTATTCTTGATTAATAAAGCAAATGACTTAGAAGTTAAATGCTTACAAGAACGAGCAGTGGGAATGTGTTGTCCAGTGAATTTGTAAATGAGTTTCATTGGTTAGTAGTATGTTCTTCAGTGAAGTATTTCATTTTGTTAGTCATAAATATGCTGCTAACTTAATAAAGTTTTGTGAGCTAACCATTAGGAGCTATCTCCCTTTTTATGTTGAAATTATTTATTTTTGTGCCTCTTGCATGTTTCACCCAGTATTTCTTTTGTCAGAATAAATTGCATTCAGTCTCTAGGCATCATATCTTTACCTTTATGTCACAAACATAACTTGATTTGTGTGTTGGCTTATGAAATATAGCCATTTTCATAACACCATGCTCAAACAGATGTTCTTAGGCTCCTGCTGGTATTCTGTAAAATAGTTCCACTTTTCACTTTAAAATGGTATTACTTTTCTTAGCTTGCATTTGAAGTCCTGTTCTGCCTGTTTCCAAACCAGTTGTGAGCTGTCACTTGTGTTCTAGAACTAGGAGGAAGAAGTAAGTTGCTCACTTTGTGGTTAATACAAGGTTTTCACTCCTATGCCTTCTGGTCAGGGCCTTTTCCTGGTTGGGATGTGCAACATTTTATGTATGTCACATGCTTGTGACATAAGACATTGAAAACCTTGAAAATGGATTTGTATTATACTTGATACTCCTTCTGTTTTCCTGCTAGCAGAGTCATCATGAAAATGCATAGTTCTTCTTGCCCTAGAATCCCCAGGTCTTCCTTTCTTTATTTCCTAAAAAATATACGAAAGAGTAGTGCTGGATCACACTAGTCCAGCCTTCTTTTCAAACAGCAGCCAACCAGCTGCCTGCAGGAAACCTGCAAGAAGAAATTATGCAGGTGCACCCATGAGATAAGTGGTTTCACTACAGGTTCATAGAACAATAGATTTGGAAGGGGCCTTTAAGGCTATCAAATCCAGCTTCCATTTCAAAGCAGGACTCCCAAGTTAAAGCATCTCTAATAGATGGCTGTCCAGCTGCTTCTTGAATGCCACTTTCACCTTTGTCTTCCAACTGGTATCCCAGTGTTCCTTGCAGCATCCTATCTTATCTCCCTTCTTCCCACTCTAATTGCATTCCTTTTTGTTAACCCTCACTCCAGTTGTGACCACTTTCCATTCCCTAACTTTTATTTCTCAAAAGATTCCAAAAAATTGAATTGGGCTCATTTTCACCCCCTGGCCCCAAATGAGCACAAATTTCTTCATATTTTATTTATTTGGTTTTTTGGAGTTGCACAAGTGTGCACTGCACCTTTCTGGTATATGTAAATTTGTTTGGTTAGTTTCTTTGTCACTTAGATCTGTCAAAAGATAATAGAGTCACAAGGCCAGACTGCACGTTGGCTAGATTGCAGACAGTTGACAGCTATGAAGTGTGTAGCTTTCAACTGGAATGCAGCAGTAAAGAAGAAAAAAGACCCATGAAGGTGAAGGTGCCAAAAGGGAGTGGGCTTTAGATCTCCCCCTTAACCCTATGGGTTTTTAATATAGAACACACTTATGTTGCTTTGGAACATGTTCTGAATTTCCAGGTAGTCCAAAAAGGGGAGATCTTAAGACCACCCAGTTTTCACAGCTCCTTTCCAGAACTTTTACTGTCTTCCCTGATATCTGTCAAAAGGGGGAAAAAAAACCTTGAAAAGTTGGCTGGATGGGATGGTGTTAATGGGGCCACATGGAGGGGCACTCCATCCACTTTCTCCCATGCTGCAACCTCTGTTTTTTGTTTTTAAGGGTTTGGGAAATGTGCACGTTTTTTACAGGGAAATATATGCAGATTTCATGGCTGGGAGTTGAATGAGCTAGTGTCAGTCACTCCAAGATGCTGTTTGGACATTACTACCCTGCTGGTGGCCCAGCTGAGCTCAGTAAGGGGGAGAGTGTTGGTTCCATGATTGTACATATGTCTCTCCTTACTCCCCCTTTTCTATGTTTAGAAATCCCAGTTTTTGTAACCTTTCATAGTAGGGAAGTTTCTGAGGTCCCTTGGTCATTTTACTTGGCCTTTTAGGTATTTTTTTCAAGCTCCACAATGCCCTTGTTTTAGGTGCAGTGACCAGGTCTGTATAAAATATTCCAGATAGATTTATTTAAGGGAACTATGATAACAGCAGCTTTCTTTTCAGTTCCTTTTCAAATTCTGCCTAACATGGAACTTGCCTTTTTCACAGCACTCACGCACTAGGTCAACATTTTCATTAAGCTGTCCACCACAATACCAAGATCTCTTTTTTGTTCAGTCATGGCTAGCTCACATCGTACCAGGATATATATGATGTTGAGAGTCTTATCCCAACGTGCCTCAATGTACAGTTGCTTATATTGGATCACATTTGCTATTTTGATGCCCTTTCGCCCTCTTTGGAGAGATCCTTTTGGAGTTCCTTGCAGTCCCTTTTAGTTTTACCCACCCAAAATAATTCGCTGTCATGAACATATTTTGCCACTTTACTACTTGCTCCTACTTCCAGGTCATTAACAAACAAGTCGAAAAGCACTGGTCCCAGTACAGATCACTGCAGAATCTTACTGTTTACATCCCTCGATTGAGATAATTTACCATTTATTCCTGCTCTCTGCCTTCTATTCCTTAACCAGTTATAATCTATAAGAGAACCTCTCTCTAAGTTGGCCCTTTGTGGTTTCTGGGGTTGGTGCTGGAATGAGACCACCTCACCAGTGTTGCTTTACACTTCCCTTTACTTAGGTTCACAGAGAGGATTGAGTTACTGGTTGCTCACTCTCAGCATTTACTGACTAACCAACAAAAGATGTTTTGAAGGTGGAAGCTCTACTCTTCCTCTCTTTTTCTGAGCTCTGCTCCCTGTATGCCTCCCATACTTCCTTTGTTAGCATTGCCCTCATCTGTCTAAAGAAGCCTAGCTTGACCAAGCCACTAGTTCTTCTCTGCAGTTGTGTGCAGGATAATTTTGAACGATTCCCTTTATTTGGGAAACTCAACAAAGCCACACAGCAACAATTGTTTGGCATACCTGAGTGGAATCTGACTTTCGAAAACCTACTGTAATTAAATAATACATGGGGGGGGGGCGTCTGTGATTAGCAAGTTCATGCACACTTTCATGGTGCTTTGTCTTTCAAATCAGCCTCGTCTAGTGACACCTAGGAAAATGAAAAGCTTCCATTTGGTAGATAGAAACAGGCAAAGATAAATGGATGCTGACTGTTAAATGTGGAACTAAATGCATAATTTTCTGAATGAAATTCAAGATTGTCCAAGCAAACATACATGGATGCACGCACTCCAGGATTTTGTTTCTCTTTCTTCCTTCAGTTTTCTTGCACATATCCTAGTTCTATCCTAGCAGGTCTCTAAACCCCATGGAGCAAATTTGGAAAGGGCATGGGTGGAATTGGGTCTGTAGAAAGAAATGGAAATTTCACCCAATCAGCAGTGTCTGTTATGGAAGATACAACTATACACCCTCACCATTGGTGAGGGTGTTCAAGGATAGGCTAGACATGCACATGGTGGGCATGTTGTGAGCAGAGCCGGCTGGAGCTGGGGGTCAGACTAGATGGCCTGGGAGGCCCCTTCTGACTCGCTCTGTTTTTATGTTTCTATATCTCTAATATTTATAGGATATGTATTTGTCTACTTTAGAGAATGCAGAAGCGGGCAGAAAGATTCAATGTTCCTGTGAGTTTGGAGAGTAAGAAAGCTGCACGAGCAGCTCGGTAAGTGATATTGCCACTCTCTGCTGCTTTTTAACCAACTGGAAGTTTATTCTGGATGCATGCAACTTTTATATTAGTTAGCTGGAGCAACTTTTGGAATTTGAGTTGTGGGTAAAAACAAATGATTGCATTGCTGTGCATAGTTTATATCATGTGTTGATTTGCTTCCCTAACAACTGTTTGTTTGATACTCCAATATGCCACCCAAAGACTTCTCATATTTTCATCTGCAATGGATGGGGTAACTGTCACTCTCTAACAACTTCCACCATTCCTGATTATTGGTTTTGCTAGCTGGGACTGATGAAAGCTGGAGTTCAGTCCCACTCTAATCTACTATTATTTCTTCCATCCTTATCCTCAAAAAACCAATCCTGAATGACTGACCTGGAGTCACCTAATGAGCTTCATGGCTGACTGGGGACTAGACTGGATCTCCCAGGTCCCCAATTCTGAACCCTAACCACCATCTCCAGTGGCTCAGAAAGAAACTGCTTCACAAGTTGTATAAAAGATGGAAAGGAAGGAAGTCCAGAATAACTTTTGGGAAAGACATGGGAAAGACACACTAGACTTATCTCTTAATGTTCTGTTCCAAGTAGAGGCTTTCACACTAAATTACACTTAAATCCAGGAAGAATGGATTACATACTCAGTTTCTTTCGTAGCCTGTAAAACTTCCAACAAATGTTCAGACAGGCCTAAAATGGTTGGAATAATATATCTGTTTATCATCAATTAAATAATATTCCAGACTTTAATTTCTTTACTGGTATCCATGAGTGCTTGAAATCATGGGGAATGGGTTAAAAAAGTAAAAATGGAGACAACTAACACAGAACATTTTTTTTACCGTAACATACTGTACTCTATGTTACGTCAGTGATAAGTACCTTGAACACTCATGAGATGTACAGAGCTTAAACAGCTAATTTTTCAAGAATATGGAATCACTGGAAAAATTAGCCCAGAATATGATTATTCTATTGTATTTAATTGTATTCCACTTAATTGGTGCTGATAATGTGTATAGCAGAATTCTTAGCTGTTCTGATAATCTGATTCAAAGAGCAATCTGGATATACTCTGGGTATATCAGTGACATATTTACATGGTAATTAAGTTTAGTTAGTTTTTAAATTATTTTCTACTATGTCATGTCTTAAATGCTAAACTTCAGAGTGTCTAACTAGGTTGTTTTCTTCTTTATAGGTTTGGTATGACTACAGCTTCCACTAAAGGTACTTGAGTGGGAGGCAGGGTTCAGTCATGGTAAAAATTACTGGTATCTTTCCCCTTCCTTTGAGTGTTCTGTCCACTAATCTCTCAACCACTTTATAGAAATAGTATTAAGAAGAAAGTTACTTTGTCCATGGGACCTTCTGAAAACTTTGCAATAACTTTGTTATAACAATGGCTTTCTACAGGCTATTTGACCGCTGTTGTTATTAATGGGTTCTGAAAGTGTTGTTTTTATGTAAATTTCAGTGTGTGCAACACGCTAATTTAGATATAATCGTGTGCTATGATATAGTAACTTCTGACAGAACCAGGATTTGGACCTATAATAATGTGTTTGATGCATTGACTCATTTAGATGCATTGACTCCAAATGTGGTAGACTGTGAATGTCACAGATATACCAGAGTTAAAACCAATAGCGCCTAATAAAATTGGACAAAGTTATTTCTTGGACAAATTTGCAATGGTTGTCATACGAAAGTTAGTCTGGATTAGAAAGTTAACTTATCCTTTAGTATTTCTGTTTGAAGATGATAAATACTAGATTAAAGGATGCAAAAGAAATGGTATATACATAGATTTTGTAGTAATAGCTAGAATGATGTGGTATAGGGCACAAACACCTCTGATGGAGTATTTGGCAAATACTGTCTTTGCAGTACAGCTCCTAAATGTGTTTACATGTGGGCTTCCCATAACAATAACTTGAGTAAATCTGTTCTGTTAAGTAAATCAGACTTCCTATAAGTAAAAGAGCCATCTTATGGCTTTCCAGACAGTGTCTGGTTTGCTACAGGATGGTGCAGATCTCCTTTGTTGCTATAGAGAGACCATGTGGGAACCAGTGTGGACAGATCCCCATCAACATTTCTTTCCTCCACTCCATAGCCAACTGAATGTTGCTCAAAAGCTGCTTTGGAATGTCACCAAAAGCTGTTTTGCCCCTCCTGAATAGGGTGCAGCAGCTGTTGGAGGAATAGTGGAATTGCCCAAAATTGTGCTTGGATCCTCAGATAAGTTAACTTTATAGCACAGATCTGTACATTTCTACTCAGATGCAGATTCCATTGGGTTTGATGTTACTCTTTGCCAGGAACATAGACAAAAGATTTCTGCCTTAAGAAAGTTCATAGAAGGAAATTTTGCTACCTCCTATTTCTCACTACTGATGCACCAGCCCTCCAGAAATGTTTTTGGAGGGTGACAAATTACTTCAGGGAAGAGGAAGGAGCAGAACTTAACTTCTATGGTTTTTCTGAAATATTCAGATCAAAGTTATTTTTTTTATAATAAATCTTTCTCTTTGAACATTATTATGAGGCTTTGCCTACATTTTTAACTATAAGAGTTATCTCTCCAGTTTTGCTGCCATCACTTTTTCATCCTTTACTTAAGCAATCTGAAGGAAACATGTTTGTTTCAAAATGGTAATTTAAAACATATTTTTCCTATTTCAGGTCTGATTGCAGAAAGTAAGACTACAGTAAGTATCTACTTTGCTTACTATAATGAATTGTAAACTTTCTGCTGAATCCCTTTCACACACAGAAAGTAATTGATATTTTAGAACTTTATCAACCAAACTGACAAACTTCAGTGAGTAAGTGACTTAAAACTAGCATTAAACTTAGTGCCAGGACAATTATGTGATTTATACATAGGCAAATCCATGCTGAATCAGATGCAAGGCCTTTCTAGCCCAAGGAGTCATAATATTTTTTTCCTTTCCTTACTTAGAATAGAATGATTTTGATGCCTAATAAGATAGAATATTAGATTCATATTCCATGCAGATTATATTCTTTATCCTACGGCTAAAAATACATTTTGATGCCTTAGGAAATTGATTATAGTAATCAGTTTTTCTGATTACAAGTGACCATGTCAAAGATACTAAACCAGGCAAGAGACCTTAGCTTTATCCTTATTCTTTCCTTTCCTGTGCAACAGAATGTACAATATCACAAAGATTGCCAAGATCTCCTTTTATGTTCTCTCACCTAAAGCACTAGTTCATGCTCTGATTCTGTGCTGTGGTAAATACTGCTATTCTCTGTCTCATCCTTGTCACACTTCTTGATCTATCCAGAAAACTGTTGTCAAAACAATTCAGTGCTTTTCTTCATTCAGCATTCATTTTTCTGATCTTTTCCTCAAATCTCTTCCTGGCTCCCTCTCCCCTCTACAGCCCACCCAAATTTATTATCCTCGCCATCAAAAGTCCACAGACTGCTCCCACATACGTTTCTTGTCCTTATCTCCCAACATGTCTTGTCCTGTGATCTTCACCACAATATCCTATGATCACTTATATCAGGAGTGAAGAACCCTTTTCAGTGTATGGGCTATATTCTATTTCAGAGAAGCTTTAAAGGGCTGCTTTTCAGTAACAACTAGAGCTGCAACAAAAGTGAAAAGTTCCTCAAAAACTCCTCCCTACAATTCCATTTATACCCATTTATGGCAAGAAACATGTTTTCACAGGAGGATGCATGAACTGCATGGCTACTCACAAATAAGTAATGTCTGCTCAGAAATAAGTAGGAGTAAAACACTCAGCAGCACTTTCGGATATCGGCGCTTTGAGATAGCATCCCAGATACTACATTTCTGAATGTTTGTTCAGATGGAAGCAGGATTGAATAATTCAGCAGCTTCTGATTAGAAACAAGACCTTTTCCCTCCATGACAGAGAGGATGAGGTCAAGTGGAAAAAGTCTTCTGGGCTGAATAGGGAACCCATACTACCCAAAGATTCCCCACCCTGTTTTAGTATTTTAATACCTGAACCACTTTCCTAGAATGCTACATCTCTCCTTAAGCCCACTGGTACGATGAAATGTTTAATCTCTTAGCCTTCACTTTCAGCCAAAATGCAAATAAAGTATCTATGTTTGCATGTATAAATCTGTATTAACTCTGCTGTTGTCACAGTTTATGAGCTCTTTGAGTTAAAAACGATTCTTTTGGCCTGTTACTGCAACAGACTAACATGGGGTCTTCCTGTAAAATTCTTTGCTTACGTTACTTGTGTAAACTACCATGTATAGTGTTGATAACAATCTTGAGAGCACACAGGTAGCAGTTCTGCTAATTTAGCGAGCGTTTTTACAAGATCTAGAAGAGAAGTGCTAGTTTTAGTCTTTTGTTGTGTCATTTATTTGGGAAGTACTTTGTTGATACCAAGGAGAGGTAGATTAACACCAAAGATTTTGGGGTCCCCCTAAAATATAAATCTTTAAAATATATGACCATTGAGCAACTGTCAGGTATTTCTGCATTTGACATGTTTAAATTAATTTTAATGATGATGAAGAAAAACACTTGGATGACCTTTGTTTTGTATTTCTGCTTGTAAAAAAAAAAAAAAAAAAAGCTTCCATGTAGCCTGAAGTGCCTGATCCTGCCTAATCTTGGAAGCTAAGCAGGGTCAGGCCTGGTCAGAATTGGGATGGGTGACTTGAGTGTATGATTCTATGATTATTGCTGTCAACTGCCTAGAGAGCTTTGGCTATGGGCAGTATAAAAATGTAATAATAATAATAATTATTATTATTATTTTATTTTTAATGTGTTGTTATTTGTCTTAATTGTGTTTTATCTTGTAATTGTGATCCACCTTGTGGCACAATTGGGTGCCATACAAATGTTCTAAATAATTAAATAAATAACTTTTCCAATGTAAATTCTTTGGCCAAATTAGGACTGAGCCAAAATACATAGAACCTTTTTTGAGCAAGTTTACTCCTCATGAAAATAAATTCAAAATTTGGTCTTTTAAGGAGCAATCAAGCGGAGGCAAGGCAGATGTTTGGCTCCTTTAATGTGTCGACTTTAAAAGGAAGTTACCTGCAGAACTCCCTGTACCCTCTGCCTTGACAAGTTGCCAAGAGAAGTGGAAAATTGTGGTACCTGTTGGAACTTTAAAGCTGTTGTTGCACCCACTTGAAAGGAATTAATTTATTCCTGTCTTCTGTTGAATACTTCACCAACAGAGAGACAATCCCAATTTTTCAACAACATTTTATGTTTCAAAATACCATATTTGTTGCAAAAAATCAAATGTCTCAATTTCAGCTCACGCTTAGGCCAAATACTTCTTAATTCCATACTTAAACACAACATCTACTCAAAATCTGTAGTACTGAAATTTGGTAACATTAATTTATTTCTCTTTGATACTAAACATTTTTTCATTTTAATTATCTTTTGGCATTAGGGGATATATATCATTGTTTCTGAAGACTTAAAAATACAAAAGTGACTTAACAAAAAGACAATGGAGGCAAAGTACTAACTGGGTTAGAAATAACAAATGTGATGGTTCTATTTTTTGACAGTTATGAATGTATTTTGAAAGAAAGGAATCAGTCTTTGTACCATTGCTCTGGCAATATAGTAATAAAGATCCTTATTAGAACTGATTTGCAGTAATATTCTGTAGATCTAGATTCCATCTTTTTGTTTTCTTTCCACTTCTTAATTGATAAAAGAGATTGTTTTATTTATTTATTTATTTATTTATTAAAACATTTCTATGCCGCCCCATTTGCCGAAGCCTCGGGGCGGCTCACAACATAAAATAAAATACAAAAATAATATAAAAATAACAGTATAAAATAAATAACAATATAAAAAGTCGCCCTGGCCAGATACATAAGCAAATACTGTTAACAATTAAAGTGACGCTTAAATAAAAAGGTCTTCGCCTTGCGCCGAAAAACAAATAACGATGGCGCTAGGCGGACCTCTCTGGGGAGCGCATTCCATAGATTGGGCGCCACCGCAGAGAATGCCCTCCTCCGAGTACCTACCCTCCTAATTTCTTTCATGGAGGGTTCCCGGAGAAGGGCCTCTCCCGCAGATCTCAAGGCCGGGCATGTAAGCACTCCTTCAGGTAACCAGGACCCAAGCCGTTTAGGGCTTTATAGGTCATCACCAACACCTTGAATTGGGCCCGGACTTCAATGGGAAGCCAGTGAAGCTGACAGAGGATTGGAGTCATGTGAACATAACACCCAGTCCCCGTCAGCAGCCTGGCAGCTCTATTTTGAACCAATTGAAGTATCCGGACCGTCTTCAAGGGTAGCCCCATGTAAAGTGCGTTACAGAAGTCCAGACGGGAAGTCACCAGCGCTTGTGTCACTGTCGCCAGGCAGTCGTATTCCAGGTAGGGGCGCAGCTGATGAATCAGCCGAAGCTGAAGGAAAGCACTCCTTGCCTACCAGCATAGCACTCAGTTTCAGAGCTCTCCATTTTCCTTGGCATAAGCATAAATTGTCTTGAGGTTTTTTTAATCGAAGACTACAAGTGACGGTTATATTAAACTGTTTCCTGTGACTTTTCTAGGTAAATTTAGACAAATTAAAGGAAAGAGCTCAGAGATTTGGCTTGAATGCCTCCACAGTCTCCAAAAAGGTAAGGTTCCAGGGCAAGCAGTACTATGGCAAATAAGTACATATTTGAAGGGAAAAAGAAGAAACTTCAACAAATATATAACTTAACAAAATACTTGTTTTGTAGTATTTGTTTTGCTGAGATGTTCTGGTGGATTGAGGAGGTTTATGTCCAGCATTATCAGTCCAGCTCCAAACTGTATTTAAAGATTTTAAAGGGATTGTATTAGGAGGTCAGTATTTATTATTGGTTTGCATAATACAATAGATTCCTAACTCTCCTTCTCAACTATATAACATTTTGGTAATATCCCTTGGGAGCAGATCCTTTTGGAATGAAATAATTCAAATACACTTTGGGTTGATTTTTATGCCAAAAGACGAGTGTCCACTATACTATGCTTAATGCTTTTGAAGGGGATAAACCTGTGCCTGGGTGTTCTACTTTAGGGTTCAGGAGGGGCACTCTGTGAAAAACCAACCTGTAAGAGAGAAGACTAGGCTAGGGCACTTCTCCCTGGTATCTTGTTTTCTTTGGAGATAGATTTTTATGTATGTATGTATGTATGTATGTAGGAACATTAACTCATAAGCCCTCTCCATTAATTTGAAGTAATCAGTCAGTCTTAGCTCAGTCTTAGCTAAGCCCTAGTATGCTTCCCCTCTTAGTTTCCCAAAACTGCAAATAAAAGATAAGGGTTCATTAAGCCTTTAATAAGAAAAACACAGTCCTGTCTGAAAGGGGTAAGCACTATTTCATGAGTAGCTGGGGAGAAAGAACTTATCTAGCATAATGTGTTATAACAGGCGACATTGCTATCATCTTTCTTAAGGCATGTACTGTGTTAGGAATAATAAGACTGAGAAAAGAGGCACAATATTGTATCTAATTCTGGAAACTGATGTAAGGCTGAACTATTATTTTCCATGGGCCTGAAAACTCCTGGCAGTTCTACAGATAAGCACCACCATAGAAATATATAGAATTTTGGAGGGTAGGATGGAGTAGAGAGAGACACACTGCCAATTTATTATTCCAGACTTGGAAATGTTCTTCTGTAAAAAGAAGGTTGTCATTTTGCCTTAACACCTGGCAAATAAACTATTCCATCCCTCATAGGACTTATCCATTGAACGTTTAATGCATTCCATTCTGCAATAAGACACTGAACCTGGCACCAGGGAGTTCAGTCATGTAGAAAATAACTGAAGGTGGAGGCCACTTTCCTCCCCATCTTCTACTCAGGGGACAGGGTGAAATCATGCAAGTGCATTAAAACTGGAATATGTGGAGGGGCAGGTCAGGGTGAGAGGCTGCTCAAACATCATTAACCCTGTCACCAGGAGTGCACATTTTTCAAGAAGAATATATGCTTTGTCAGCATTTATGGCCAAGTTTCCTTTGAGTATAATTGTGTACAAGAGCCTTAGTATGAATTGTAAGCTCTCTTTAAGAGCTTTCTGTAACAATGCCTTCTCCAATACCTGACAAAAATGTAAAATTGTAAGTGGTGAGCATTAACTAATTTGAATGCTCTTACAGAATATGTATAGAGCTAGTTTCATTAGTGAATTGATCCTCTTTTTGCACATAGCAGAACAGCAAGCCGAAGGTCAGAAATCGATTGCTTAGTTCGGTCTAGAAATTTGTGTTTCTGCCTGTCTATTTTTAAATAGTCTTTTGTCGTTAAGTTAGTTTTTGCTTGCCTATACCAGGCAAGAGGACAAGCCACAAATATAAGCATTATAGTAGTTTGTCTTGAGATCGTTTGTTCTCATTTGTGCTCAGATCTCTATTTTCTTATAAAAGTGGCTTTTTCCCTCTGAAGAGCATACTGTTAGATCCCATTGAGGCACATTATTAGTTGCTTCAATTAGCCTCTAGTATTGTGTTACCCACCTGGGTGTTCTTTATAGCTTTTCATTACAGAATAGTCTAGTTACATGTGCCTTTGCAGATTTTTAACACCACGCATTGCAGCAAAAACTTTGCTGTACACTATTATCTCTGGAGCGACATTTCATTTCCTATTCAAATTGGTTTTGAAGAAGAAAGGTGGGGGAAGAGGAATGTAGCCAACGGCAGTTTCAAGCCTGCTGGGATCAGGGAAGTAAACCTATAACGGGGTAAGAGGCTCTCTAGCTAATCTGTATCTTTGAACCTAGAACTAAAAAATTGAAGGGAGAAATTCTCTTCCTAAAATTTAATTAAGGTCCTATGAGTACAGTGGAACAGAGATGGTGATTGCCACTGTTTAATATACTAGAAGTGGCAGGTGCTTGCTTTTTTGTCAGCGCATAGCTATCAAATTAATTTTTAAAATAAATCAAGATAGCATTTTTTCTCTCTAGAACTAATCATACCCCCTCCCCTGTATTCTCCTGGGAGACTTCCTTTTAAATTTACCCTCTGACCTGAGGCTGCTGTCCCTTGATTTCTGTGAGTTACACTTAAACTGCTCCCTTCCCTTGTAAATTTTCCTTCTGTAGCAGCTGCTCCCTGTACCACTCTGAACCTCTGGTTTCCCAGTGGGAGACCTGATAGCTGCAGGCATTGGTGCTGCAGAGAGGGCCGCATCGTAATGCAAAACTGCATTCTCAGAGGGCTTGCCTATGCTTTTTATGCATGTACCAACCTCATAGGTGTCCAGCAGAGAGAGTATTAACACAAAATAGAAGACTGAGTGTCTTTAGAGAACCCTTGGGTTACCATAGATGCTACTTTTCTGCATTGCATTATCTGGTGTCATTTCCAGTCCGAACAGATGACTAAAATAATTTGTGCTTCACACCATCTAATGTAAGGAATCTCAAATTGTTTTAGAAGCGCTTAATCAACCTCAGCTTGGCAGGGCTTGGAGCTCAGTAGGTATTGTACTAGCATACTACAGATGCCGATAGAACTTCAAGGATGTAAGCTCAGGTATCTTAGCACCAGTTTCTTCTAATTCTTGGATTTGGGCTTTAAGTTGAAAAGAAAGAAAGGAACTTGTACTCAGAATCTTCTGCTTGAATCCAAAAAGTCTGTGCTATCAAGCAGCAAATTATTCACAACTACAATAATATCCAAATTTGTCAGATTCCTCTTTTAAAGGTGCTGAAAGTTCTAATTTGATTGCTAATGGGTAAAAAGGTGAAAAGTTAAGTGAATATTGGTCAAAAGTGCTAATTTTAACCAAAGCTTGTATTTCATGGTTTTTGGAGGACAAGTTTAGGGAATAGTTGTGTGTTTTCCAGTTAAATGGGATAATACAGTTGGCTCTATTCAATTTTCAGTCCAAATGGACTTAATCCATTTGATTTTTATCTCTCAATGAGAAAGCTAAAACAAGGGAAGAGATAAGCGTTTAATTAAGACCTGAAGGCAATATTAACTAATTCTGATTCTAATGGAGGATTGTATACATCAGCTGTACCCACTAACACCTCTTTTCCCAGATTATTTCATATCATCAAGCAGAGAGTTTGCCGTATTCATAGGTTGTTTGTCAGAGTGATGTTCAAACATGGTGCTTAAACTTGTTTATGCATTAAACATCCCAAAGTTAACCTAAGAACGAACTATTGGTTGACTGATTTATTTAACCCACAAGTCTATGAATGTGGCTGACATGTGGCACATATCCCTGCTATTTGTGGGTTATTTAACCCACAATTTACTGATGAATGCCACAGTTCTGTGAAAACAGGCTTTTCCAAGTCCAAACATCCTTTGTTTGAGCTTTCCTTCAGTTTACAGTATGTTCTGAACTAGCAACATATGTCTATAGAAGGTAGCAAAAAAATGAGTTACAGTTCTGGAGACAGTGGAGCTGAACTTAGGTACATGAAGCTGGTCTGACTAAAGGAGACTTCTTTGCCTCGTGCTATCTACATGGGAGCCCTTCCAGTTCCAGTGAAATGTCACACCAAGGGTTAGGGGACCCTTTTGAATAGAGTAGCTGGTGGTATGTAGCGTAGGCATCTTCCAGGAGCAGAGTTCTTCAATTCACAGAAGGTAGAACCATCCTGGTTTTGTGTCCTAGGAGCTTTCTTAACATTGGAAAAATTTTGTGTGGCACTGCAAAAACATTGGGAGCTAGCCATTTTATTACTTTGGTTTTCTTGGGAGCAAACCAAACCCCTATTCAAGTGCTTGAGGTTGGCTTGGAAAGTTATGTCAGCTGCTTTGTGGGCAGACATCCTCTGTTGGTTGATCTCATGTTTTCCCTTTTAGGGCCCCTGACTCATTCCTCCCATCTCTTTATCCAAAGTCATATTGTTCAGATTGCTATCATTTTTTCTGCTTTAGTCTGTGCAGTTTTTGTAAAATAGAGTTTTTATGAATGTTCAAATCAACCTACCACCAAAAGAATCTACGCCTTCCATGCTTCCTACTCAAATCAACACTGAACTTCAATTTTAAAGAATAATGGATGCATATTAACTCATACTTCCAAAAATTGCTTTAAAATTTGTTTAATGTACATACTTGTCTGCATCTACAAAGATTATATGGCAACACCCAGTGCATTCATGATTTTAAGACGTGCCACAAAGATGGAATGCAAAGTTGAGTGTGACTTTAACAACAAGACAGGAAATCAAACTTTTCTGTCACTCGTAGGCCAACATGCTCCCTTGTAATCCCTTCCCTAGCTTTCAAACAGGTTGAAAGTGTTTGTGTGTGTGTTTCATTTACCATTTGTTTAGATTTTGTGTATGTTTATTTTTGCAGAAAGTTAGACTTTATTTGTTGTATTTATATCCTGCCTTTATTCTTTTTGTAAAGAACTCAAGCAGCTTATATCATTCTCTTCCTGCTGCTTTCAGTCTTACCCCTACAACAACAGTCTTTTGCGGTTGGTTGGGCTGAGAGTCTGTGACTGGACTAAATTCACATAGTGGCTGAGACAGGAATAGAACCCAGATTGCTTGAGTCCTAGTCTCACACTCTTAACGACTATACCACATTGACTCTCACACTTTAGACTACAGCTAGAGAAACAAATGTTCCTGATGCTTATTAAAATGTTACATTTT